ATAATTTAAGTCCCGTCGGCAATCAGATTGGTTCTACTTTTTCCACCTCAGTTCTTGAACTCGTCGTTCACACTCACAGGTGCGACGTTGCCAAACTTCTGAGAACTATTGAAATCTACCTTATAACCAACAAACATTCATTCATTCATTATTCACTATGGATACATGTTACATGGATCACAAATAGAATCGGTTGCTAAAATGTGTAGTATTCAATACTAAGTAATCAAATACGGCAGTACTCAAACGTTACATCAGATGCATTTTGCTTGGTCTCCAAGCGAATGAGGCTGACGGTCATGACGGGATTCCACCCCTTGTTCTCAACAAGTTTGTATCAGAATTGACACCGATCATTCGCTAGTTATTCATCATTGCAAACAAGTCGGATGATTTTCCATCGTGCTGGAATATAGTCCAGCTTTATCCCTAGAAATGGTGACAAAAATCTACCCAACATCTGTGGGCCTATGGCCCCCTCTTCAGTTATTTTCAAAGTGATCGAGAGAGCGATCAACATTGAACGTATCAAATAATTGGAAAGCGCAGGAATCACAATTGAAGATTCACCCAATCAGCAGAATGTTATCCATGGGACATCCTATAGTTATTGGAACTGGGTATTCCTAATAACCATGGGATATCCTGAAATCAGTATATGGTAAGATTAATTTGTACCTCATGACATCAAGTGTCGAATATCAATTAATCATTTTCATTCAATCTTTGTCTTCAATATTTCTGGAAGAAAAAATGACTCATAATAAGCAGAACATGGTCTTATTATAAAAAAATGTGTTTCAAATTGCATCATTCATCATCCTCTACTGCCCCATCTTCATGATTTTCTGTTTAACGAATTCAATACTTTTTCCAGTTTTATTCTCATTGTACGGATTTTCAATATGGCATCTGAAAAAAAGAACAAAGTGAAACAATTTCATATTCAGCCTGCGAACAATTTGGAAACATTTCTGGGAGAATGATGGACAGAGTTAGGTACTAGTGAACTCTCAACGCGACAGGCAGTAGAACTGATAATTGTGTGAGAACCAATATGCAAAACCAATACAAGGACTTATACTCAATCGTTATATTGTTGTTCCCAGAAGAATAGGATGTTCAATAATTCGACGAAAACTTCATAATAACCAGCAAAATCCGGGGAAAATGTAACCATCCGCCATTGCTGATACCTTCTGGACGCTTCTGATTCAGCGATTCAAAGCGTCTCAACTTGAAGTGGACCTGAACTTATTATCATTGTTGATCACAAATGAGATCATTAATGATCACAAACAAGCACTTATATTGATTTCTGATATATAGATTCCTTTAATTATTCAGATATGTAATGTTATCAACCGTACCATCTATCATAATACCAGATAGTGTGAGCACAGCACAGTACAGATTACAGCGCCATCACTCTAGGTGGGGTGGACTGGTGGAAGTGGAGAGGAGATGATGGGATGCGCGCGCAGTTAAAACGTATCTTGATCCAGGAAGGATGACTATGGGTTATTGATATTGATAGACCCAAGTATATCCATTATAGGGCTGTGTTCGGGATAATGTTATCACTATTGGATATTCATGGAATACACTTTTGGTTTACATATAGGATGTTCTATTTTGGACATTCATGGGACATTCAAAACCTTCGGGTCCATCTGAGGATAACCTGTGGATATCCTGGACAGGATTATCCCATTTCTGGACATTCGGGATCCTTATTGGATGTCCTGTGGATATAGTGTGCTGATTGGGCACAAACTTATCACTTCACCCATATTATAATATGGCAAGCTTCATTGAGAAAGCATGGGGAATCTCTAGCTGCTGCGTTAGATATATCGGAAGCATTCGATCGCGTTTGGCACTAAGGGCATTTCCACAAACTACCATCATACCATCCTGCTATGCCAGCTCCTATCAAGTTTTCTGACAAGCTGATCGCTCCATGTGGTGATGGACAGAGTATCATCTGATACTATAGTCATAAATTCTGGCGTTTCTCAAGGATCAATTTTGGCACCAACATTGGTTGGTATCGATGATACTTAATACATATAAGAAAGTCTCGACAAGTTGAGTCATTTATTCGTAACTAAATATTTGCTTGGGAAAACAGATTCGCTTGGCATGAACATACAGCAAGTTTCGTGAAATTTGGGATTTTATAATGAAAGTGACAATACTGAATTTTTGAGGCCGCCTCTTTGTTTTCCTGTGATTTTTTTTTAAGGCCTTGCCATCATCACATACCAACTACATTCAATAATTTCGAATGATTGTACATGCTATCATGATTGAACGAAACAATTGTTTAAATCGTTAACCTATGTTCCTTACATAAAATGTACCACCATTCTTTTTTTCTTGCAAAATTTCTTATGGTTTGCTTATGTCAAATCAATCAGGACCATATTTTCGCGATCGAAAATGACCTCGAAATTTATACGTCGCCCCACCTGACGGCAACTCATTGAACACTTCTAAGCGGTTTGTTTCGATGATCTGACCAATGAGGACAAAATGAACTGAACCAATGACAGCTTTCAAGAACTCCGATAGATGGCGTTCGCAATTTTCCTATCGCGAATTGAACTAATTCTGATAATTTAAACCAATCCTGAAAGTGGATATACGAATAAAATAACCGTTCACCTGTGCAATCTCACATTTGAAATGACAAGGCCGTCATTCTGTTTTCATATCAACTCCTTCAGAACCATCCTATCGTAAATTTCTCAGGATGATATACTGAACATATCTTGAAAATGCTAATATTTGAGGGGGCGATTCTCTGACACATTTGAATAAAAAAACTTCTTTCGAACGTATGTCCCTAAAGTCTCAACTGTTGAGATACAGCTGGTGATAGATTTTGAAAAAAAAAACAGTTTTTCAATTATAACTGAGTAAATATTGTGAAAATCTTCATGAAATTTGATAAGTACATGTCTTCTATGCATTAAGGTACATTTTTTGATTTAATAAAAATCCTTTTTTCCACCAGTGGCGTCCGTAATAGTTTCGCATTGAATATTTTTCGATAAAAAAATACTACGCCACTGCTTTGAAAGAAATCATTTACAAGATCCTCATGAATTTTTGAGCAAATTTGAACTCATGGGTTCGCTTTGTTCGACGCATGGTTCTCGTTCAAAGAAATTAGAATAGTCTTATTTCAGGATCAATTCCTTAAAAATCTGATGCGGTGTGGAAATGTATGTGCATCGGCCGAGAGCAAATTGAGAAATCAGATGTCGTGTTCCGAAATGAATGAGAATCCACAAGATATGGATTTCAGCTTGTACGAAAACGAGTTTCATTCTATTCTATAAAAATAAGTTCAAATGAACGGCACAAATTCATTTATCAATGATAATGATAACCCTGATTATAAAAATCGTTGGAAATGGCCACCTTAACTTAATGGGCATGCTGTATAGTTTCACACGAGGCAACTATCCGCTCTCTCAAATCTTCTGAAGTATCAACAGGAGTTTTATACATTAGAGTTTCAAGATGCCTCCATGCAGAGAAATCTAAGCCATTGAGATCGGGGGATCTTGCTGGCCATTGCTGAGGTCCTCCACGACCTATCCAACGATTAGGATGAACTGTATTCAAATGGTTCCGGACAATTACACTGAAATAAGCGGAGGCTCTATCGTGCATGAACCATATTCGATTCCCTAACATAATTGGCACATCTTCAAGCAACCCACGTAGTTTTTCTTCGAGAAAGTGTAAATAAGACCGACCATCAAGACGTCCTGGTATAAAAAATGGGCCAATTAGATAATCACCAATAATTCCTGCCCACACATTAACCGAAAATTGGTGTTGAAAATGGGTTTCGGTTATGGCATGAGGATTTTCTCCGCACCCACCTGATTGTTATGGAAATTATTAATAGCATTCCGAGAAAAATTTGGTTCGTTTGTGACTCAAACTCAGGATTTAGTGCAATACTCTGAAAATACCACTGGCAGAAGTTCACACGCTGTGGAAAATCTCTGGAGAGTAATGCCTCTACTCTTAATATATGGCATGAATATAACAAAAAATCAACCAAAATACGCCAAAACATCTGATAATGAATATTCAGAGTTCTAGCGATCTTCCTCGTACTCGTCTCAGGATGTTCTTCGATTTCTTGCAGCACGGCGTCCTCAATTTCAGGAGTTCTGACACTAAGAGGTCTACCTTCCTGAGAACCTTCCTTGATACTACCAGTTTCCCTAAGTCGGCGATGAATATTTGAAAAGGTACGGCTCTCTGGTAAGCTACGATTAGGATCTCTCCTGATAAATGCGTCTGGCTTCTGTTGCATCACCATCGGCGAGGCCATATGCGTAATGCATTGCCGCCATTTCCGCATTCGTGTGATCCACTATATTTACTGATATTCAGGAAAACAGCGAACAACCAAGATAACTTCAATAACACACTTGAAAATCAAATGAATGACGCACTGAGATGGTTTTCAACACCAACAACTTTCTTGCTACATTAACTCAATTTAAATTGGCGAAGCTGACATTCTGATTTTTTCACGAAATTTCTCAGGGTTTTCCTATGTCAAATTGACCAATTATTGAATAAACCCTGAGAATGTCATCCTCCTATAATTAAAACTGCAATTGAAACTACTGATCAGCTGTGTAACATCACATCAGAATTGGCTAAGCCGCCATGTTTGTTCTCATATGGACTTTTCTCGAACCTGCCTATCTCAAATTCCCCAGGAATATATACTGAAGAAATACTGAGGATTTCATGCTTTTATAATCAGAAATTCAAATGTAATGATCGTTCACCTGTTACATTACATTTAAATTAGCAATTTGTTTCCATGTCAACTCTTTCAAGGCCTACCATCCTCAAATCACTAAGAACTATATAGTGAACAATTCATGAGAATGTCATGCTTTTGTCTTCAATTGCACAATTATTGTTACCGAAATCTGCCCCACTAAACGTTCCGCCCCTGTTCTCAGGTGCTCCAAAATGGAATACAATTCATTATCTAAAGATTTGAATATCTTTGAGGGATTTATATTTCTATAAATAGTTTTTACCTATGGAGTAGCAATCTGACAGTGATTGAGAAGCACTACTTGATGTCAAAATGGTAAGTTCAGTTAAATGTTGGATTAGTTTATGAATAAAAATGTGAATTCTTCTGAGATGTATTTTCTATGACAGGTCGTTCTGAAATACCGAGGCTTCTGTGCACCAGTGTTTACCGCTTTCCGAGATGATATGTGAGTTTTTCGAATTTATTTTGTGTAGGGTGATCCACCATAACTTTCGAAACGAAAGCCAGTTGATGGGACTTTTTCATAATATCCTCAGAGTGTAATGAAGAAGATCGAAACAAATTTAATTAAAGAGACATAAATACAAATGAATTCAACCGTATTTATTATTGGTATTCAAGCGATAACTTATAGGAAGTATAGGTCGGTACCTACGTATATGAAATAAGTACCTATATTCAACTAGATATGTATAATAATATACCTACTGGAACACATAGTAATTGAAATGGCATCTGATTAGAGCGCCTACTAATTCATTCCGAGATTGGTGTTCAAGCGATAACTAGGAAAGTAGGTATGTACTTAGATATATATAACCCTAATAGCACACAACGTCCTAGGGACGTCCCTTTTTGGTACAATTCACTTCCGAATGTCCCGAACCAAAAATAAGTGTCCTTGGGACGTCCCATCCCGTACATCTCATGAAATGTCCGAGCAAGGACGTCCACGAAATGTCCCAGCTGGTACATCATTTCAAATGTCCTAGAAATAGCATCCCTTAGACGTCTCACGTGGTACATATTGTAGAATGTCGATGCAAGGACGTCCTTGGCATGTCCCTGATGGGATATGATTTCAAACGTTCCTTCAGGGACATCCATCGGATGTTCCGAGTAGTACATATTCTGGCATGACTTCAGATCTTATATAATGTCCCTTCTAGACAACCATAAAATGTCCCTGATGGTACATTCCTTCAAATATCTCTGCACAGACGCCCTCAATATTTCCTGGATCGTATAACAATCAAAATGTCCCTTCAATTGTCCCTTAGGGATATCCTTCCGATGTCCCAATTGGTACATAAACTGTACTCTTCCAATGTCCTAGAAATAACGTCCTATGGACGTCCCAGTCGGTACTTTCAATATGTTGTCCCTACGAAGACGTTAACTTACACCTCGCCGACGGAGAATTGCTCGTAGGCTATAAGTACTCTTCGTCAATGTCCTTCACGTCAGTCCATTGGACGTCCTTTGGGAACTTTGTGGGGACCTTCTACGGATCATCAACTCAATTGAATGTCCTAATCAGTTATGGAAGATTCGGTCCTAGAGGGACCCAGAAAAATTCAAATTCAAGAATAATTCGTACGTCCCTGGGACATCCAAGTGATAGCCCTCAGCGTTGCTGATAGGTTGTCCTATGGCTGTCCTAAGGATGTCCTCTGTAGTGCTTGATAAGGAATACTGTAGGATTCAGGTATTCGATAGTTGTCCCAAGGACATCCCTCAAGGACGTCCCTAGTTGGACTTTAAGTGGGACATTTGTGCGACCCACAGACGTTCAATGGACGTCCTAAGGATATCCATGAGACATAAGTGTGTTATTAGGGAAATCTTAATATTTTCAGTTTTCCAGATTTCTTGGGATTTTTCCTCCTCGTTTATATAAAATACAAATATGGATATTATTTCAATATACGTGTAGTGAGGACGATTCAGATGATTTGCCCCAAAATGTCACTGCGTTCTAAGAACTTTCCTATCAGAGAGCCTAAAAGAAAAATTCAGTAGCTTGTGTGACAATTTGTATTGAAAAAAGTTTGGAGGAAGGAAAATGAAGGTATATAGAAAATATGAAATTTTCACCTAGCTTTGGACGTTTCGGGAACGAGTCTGCTCCCGTTTTCAACATTCTTGTTTTCAAAAAAACGGTCTGCTCACCTTCCGGTAGCCTAGAGACAGATCTCCCAAACTATGATATTACTATACAAAATTCTTTCACAATAAGACCAGCAAATGAAATCAAATATTTGGGAAAAATGTTGTATGAAACTTATATGGACTACTTATCAAAAAAATTTAGATGTATTTAGGTAACACCGCTTCGGGTATTTTCGTCCGGTCGATGGACAAACAAATTACCGATAGGGAGAATCTTGTGGTTCAGAGCTCTTGAGAGAAAGAGTATTGAATGTATAGCAATAGAGTAGAAGTTACGTAAATTATCTCGTCAACGTTGAACAGCATGGGGATCTCGAAAACAGTAGGAGATAAGAAGTCGTTTAAAAGGGGAAAAAGTTGCGCATTTGGAGGCTCATATCAAGAGCCTTCGAAAATTTTCAAAATTATTTCTAGTTTTTAAGTTGTATCGAAAAAAGTGAATTTTTGGAATATCTATTTTTTTCTCCGTTATCATTAGAAAAACAGGAGAACTGAAAATACTTTTTTGTTGCAACTTTTGATGACGTTCAATGTGGTGATACCAATTTTTTTATGCGACGTTTCGTATCTGTTGAACCATCATCAACTTTTGTTTTTTGAATACGGTCCTGATAAGTTTTTCACATATACTCGAAGGTTTTTTTATTCTTATTTCAACCATGTATTATACAAGGTGATTCGAATGTGTTTCGACCTATTTCTATCCATCATCAATGTTTTTTCGAACTTCCAAAGGAAAAGTGCCATCAGTTCCACTTATTTCTGATCATTTAGTGTCAAACCTTGATGAATTAGTTATTTAATACTGAGAAGTGAATAAAAAATATTTCACCACAATTTTCAATGCAGCGCTTGAAATTGTTGATGAATTCTTACACGAATTACATTAACAACTTAACTTTGACAATACCTACAGAAACATTCATAACAAATGTTCAAAATGATAACCATTATTATCCTCTTCTCACAGTTGCTTCTAAGACATTACTAAGCATTTCTGGGGTTATTTCATTGAATGCTTCGATGACACTGTCCCTTAGTTCTACTTCATCATCAAAGTTATTTGCGTATACAAAGTTTTTGATATATCCCCTAAGAAAAAATCCAGCTGTGTCAAATCAGGCGACCGCGCCGGCCAAGGGACTGTAGAATGAGTACCAATCCATTTTTCTGGATGAAAACTCACGAACTTCTCAGGAATTATGTACCGGATCTTGTTGAAACCAACAGTTCTGAACTTCCGCAATCGGTAAATCATCCAGGGCTTCCTCAAGATGATTCTCAAGCAAATTTCTATAACGTTCGGAAGTCTGTGTTTCATGGTTAATAAAAGGACCAATAATTCGTATACCAAACATTGCAACCCACATATTGAAGCCGAAACGGTGTTAGTGTCTCGCTGTAATGTATAGATGTGAACAATAATGTGTATTTTTTCTATCGAAGATACCATGATAAGTGACCATGCTTTCATCAGTCTAGATGATTGTTCGAGGAAAATCTGAAAAAATAAATTTTATTCGCTAGTACTTCATTTTATCGAGATGCAACATAAGCACCTTTTCTATGTAAATAGCCCTGAGATTTCATAATTTCATGTCAAAAATCTGAAATTGCGATGAACAAAAAAGTTGAGGTTATTTTTATCCCCTTCCTTTCTATTTTGACGCACCCCTGTTTTTAATTTTGAGGTGATTCTAACTCCATTCGAACCGGCACTGAATAGTAAGTGGATGGACAAAATTTCAGATTTTCACTATACAAGGTGTTGGAGATAATAATACAAAATCATTCTTTGAGGCCTCCCTTCAAGGGGCTGTATCTTTCTCGGAGGTCATTTCAGAAAAAAAATTTACCGGAGGTTTTCGTAACTATTTCACATACTCTATATGCTCTCAAAGTTTGACCACCTATTTTAGAATCACCTTGTATAACAATTGGTTCTTCGAGGAACCAGTTAAGGAAATTCACGACACAACACTCACAATGGGTGCAGTCAGATACAAATCAAATGTCGCACATAGGCGGTAATAGCACTTCTAGCCACTTCTGCAATAAGTGCGCTAACACCATCCAACCGCGAAACGTTCTTTGCATCTCAATGTACGACGAAAAGGAAGGAGTATACAGTGTACACCCTCATTTATGTAATGAATAAGAACTTCAATACTTTCTGGCGGTGAATCGAGGTGGTGGAACATTCTTTTTACTAGATTTTTCAGAATTCTCCTCGTTTCTGTGCTAGTATAAAAATATAAGTGATATTTCAATATCCCCACATATCGAAATTCTCACTAAGCTTTAGACAATTGAGGAACAAATCTGCTTCTATTTTCAACATAAAAAACTAAAAATATTGTTCTTCCAGAATGTCTTCTGATTTTAGTGTTGACACTTTTCAGTGACAGATGTTGATGCAAACAAATGACTTACATGATGTTTTCATTAATCAATTCTGAATTCATAATTCTGATGTTCACATTTCAGTAGTGATCATTTGATTGAAATTTTTATATTACTCCGAAAAAAATCTGTTCTTTCAGCAAAATCAATCTCAGCGTCAGTTCAGCACTAATAAATTGTTTTGACGTCTATTTAATGCAGATATTCTGCTGTGGTTATGCAATTCTTTTCAAGGTCTAATAGAAAATAGTCCCAGTGTAACGATAAACAAGCTGTTTAAGTTTTCAAAATGAAATATTTGTACTAATCGCATCATGAAATAAATAGTACTACACAGCTTGCAGTTCAATTTTCAATCGTATATTCACCAAAATATAGAAAGTGAAACTGCCTAGTAAAATCAGTTTTCCCTCGACCTCGTATTAACGAGTAGGTTTAATTTTCATGGAATCGTTCATTAATGACACCTGTTAATGATCAATTTGTCTATTAATACACGATATGCTTTATAGGCAACCAAACATACACCGCGTGCATTCATTATTCATGCTATAACTTACGGATCGAAAATATGGATTTCATCGAAGATTTTTCGTTAACGGGTTCGCCTTTCCAATTTTCTGACACGATTTTAATCCCTGTTATCTAACACAAGAAATTTATTTTCTATGTTGATCATCTCGACAAATGTCAAATGTCAGTTACAAGGCTACTGGGTGATTCTTAGCAATTTCCGGATGAATGATGAATTCGCGAACCAAGTTTTCTTCATTGCAGGAGGAATGAGAAATATAGTCGACGGAAAATTTTTTGTAATCAACTTGTGTATTAAAAGGCGATTAATGATCTCGAACATTAACGTGCTCGCTTCGCTCGCAGGTTGAAATATCTCCAACATTAATCCCCCTCATTAATACACTAGTTGGTTAAATAACTATTATCAAACTAGTGCCTAATTAATGATATGCGGTCTATTTAAGGTCCATTGATACGGATATCATCCCAAAATATGCTGAGTTTTTAGCAAATAATGGAGTGGATGGAGTATTGGGTGAGTATGTCATAGTATAGTTTCATAAAAAGTTAAAAAAATACAAGGAAAAATATTCAATTTTCTTCAATTATTGTTCAAAACTGTATATAAAATTTGATTCAGAAAAACTTCCTCTAATACATTTCAGTTGTTCTGAAATTCAATTGAAGGTTTATGATATCGAACCTACTATCCTGAGATGAAATTGATGCTTTCTGGAATTCCATTGAATATCAACCCCTGGTGCATTCGAATTATTGAAGTTACATGTTTCAGTTTCTTCGCCTTTTGTTGTTATAGGTATATTGTTTCATTATATGTTTTTCAACGTCGAAATGAATTAAATGTTCTATATGAGAAGTCATCTCAAATTATCGATGTGGTATCAGTTTTGCATCAGAGATCCTTAGAATGTGATACCTTTATCATTCCGCAGAGAAAACCAGCAAAATGAATCTCTCCTCCCAACTATAGTTACTCTGAGATATTTGACAACTATTTTTCAACAGTTCAGGGCAGTTCCGGACAAAGCATGTCGATGACTGTCCAAGAGAGAAAAGCACACGTGGAGGAATGGTCCAAGGCGGTAAAAATCACCAAACAACATTTGATGGTCCAAGTAGGCGGGTGCCCCTTGCCTGACGTCATCGAATTGGCGAAACACGCCGAATCCATAGGCGTTGCTGCGATTCTGTGCCTTCCTGAGCTGTATTTCAGGTACTTACTTGATATAGTTAAAAACTACATAGTCAGGTTGCCTCATAACTATTTGAGGTAACATAATCTTGACGTAATTGTGCCTACCCGATGCATCTGACATAAGCTTGTTCCTGATTTTTCCATGAATTCAATAGGGAACTTCAGCTAGCGTTTAGAGTCTTCCGCCCTTGTTTTCATGTATCCAACGGAAAATAATCAAAATGCCATGTTGGTAACACGAAAAATGAGGAGAAATAAAAAAGGCCATTCCAACATTCTTCATATTCACCTTAGATTGGGTGTCTTTTCCATATGTGTTTCCTCTCAAAGCTAGCCAAACTTTTGTATCGATTACATGAACACAGCCTCATAGCATGATGATCACATCAAGATCAGTATGAATTGAAGCGGAATTCAATTCCCTCTGAAACGACATAGAAAAAGTACCCGACAATATCCTAGAGCAAGTGCTACAAGCGACCGCGAATTCATCACCAGTTAAATCCAGGTTTCGTAGTTCCCAGTTCTTTTCATTTCTACAACAACTGTGAAAATGCAAATGCTCCAAGTTTCTTTTGTGTCTCTCTCATGTGATATTTTATCATTATATTTCCATTTTCAACAAAGTGAAATAAGAAATATCGTTCATTACACGTCCAGAAATGATTTTTCCGTGATTGCATGACTATCCCTATTTCCAGACTCGTTTTGGATCAATGTCATTAGCGAAATCAGAGCAGCAAGCTGGAGTATGTCAATCGACGAATATTTCTAGGAAAAATAGTATCACGAGTTGTATTCGTATGACTATCTCATGATTGAATGAGACAATATATATAAGAAATAGGAAACATAATTTAGTATATTCCAACTCGAACTGCGAAGAAGAACATAATGATAGTAATGAAATACGGAATTTACTTCTTTAGAAATTAACTACCTACTTATAGTTATTCACAAAGTGGAATGTACAATTTTGATAAACAGTATTTTTTTATTATCTTGGAGATGGTTGCTCTCAAAAGAGTGTATACAATTGCTATCCAATTCAAACAGAATAAATTGAATTTATGTGACATGGAATGATAAAAAAAAAGATATCGTCGCCGAGGGCTCGAACCATCGACCTTCGTATCCTCGCGCAACAAACCTAACAGTTGCGCTACATCAGCTGGTAATTACATCAGTGAGTCACAATTAGTTGAGTAATCGAAGAAAATTACTTTGAACAGGAATTTGAGAAATATTTGATGAAAAATGAGATTTCTAGCAAAAGCACTAACGAGAACTACCCTGAAGAATTTGAAAAACTTTTTCTGACAGTTGTGAAAACTATTCAAAGCTGAACAGCAGCCAAGTTTTGATCGATTTTTGTTGATTCTCCATGGAAATGTATGTTGTGTTGGCAAAGTGCCGTGAGAAAAAATATTTCTCACAGTATGGGCATTACATGGTTTTGAAACTAAGGAAGCTATGAGAAATGCGCTACTTTTCATAGAAGTAGTAGAAAAAAAATTTTTGCCCTACTCAGAGCAGTTGACTTTGCTTTTCCTTTTCGAGAATAGACTGAAGCTGCTTTCTTTCTGCATTTCTCGCATCCCTTGCTTCTTTGAATTCGATGACTGTAAATGGATTGAATTTTCGGATGTACGGTTTACATTATTTTTCTTTAAGGAGTTTTGCAGTAACATTTCACATAGTCTTTATGACGCATTCTTTATCATCATTACCATCAGCTTTCTTCATTTTCTAAAGATTCTTGACCAAATCTTGACATTTTGAAACGACGCTTGTATTGTATAGAGTCACTGGATATTAGTTTGATAAGAGTTCGGACCTTTGTTCGGACACAGAAATGACAACAGTTAGGGTTTTTGAATGTTTAGATTTATAAAGTTACACACCTTGCACTGTGACAAGAGCAACATAGTCGTCCGGCGCTTTCTCATTCGAAATTTTTTGAATTTGACAATTCATTATATAAACGTCAGAATTGAAATGAAATTTCATAATTATTATACTTTCGCGATGAAAGCAGCTATAGAAATCACTTGCTGTATAATAAATTGTGACTATTTCGAAACAAATGGATATCATCTATTCGATTTTCCAAATCAAATATCAAGCATTCGCTTATGGAAGGAAGATATGAAAAGACCTGGGTGGAAAATCAATTTGAAGACGAGCGGAATTTGTGAGGTACTCATTGAAACTCACTTCTTATAACAGCATCTGATTAGAATGAATCTATTTTTTAGGCCCATTTTCGAAGAGAAGATTTCAAAATCTGCTGTTTCATCAATTTACAGAGCAGACGATTTCAAGAACAAAATTCCATTATTATCATCACACAAAATACAAAACAAAATAATAAATGATCATGGAGAGAGGCAATGATCGTAAAATTACATAATGAGATTGAAAATTTGAAAACAAAACTAAGAAAAGCAAGTAAACTACAACGTGATATATTATTGAATAGCGTTTTGGTGCTGACCGCGAAAATTCAACAGTGAAAAGTGAATAGATATTTAAGTATCAAGGGAATTATTATAAGGGCCTCAATTACGCTGGAGGTTATCGTTTTGGAGATATTTTCCATATCGATCCATGTTACTTAGCTCCTAGGGCGCTAAGTGAAGTTGCTGAGAACTTAACAAAACCAAGTATTTGGTAGGTCTCGTCACAATAAATTATTTTTCTTCCATGAAATCTTTATCGGAAAATGATTTGTTCTCTGTATTTCAACACCCTGTATCTCCGAAATAAAGCATTTCCAGACACAAGCTTATATAGACTTTATTTCTTAAAATTGACTCAGGAATACTTCACTAGAGTACAGTTCCACATACAATAAGGAATTATAGCTATAAGTTTATCCATATTCTCTGATATTAAAATGTTGTTACATGCATTTTTTTTTCATTTATATAAATCTTGCTCTGCTAGAAGTGTATCACTATGAATTGAAGTGAGTGTTTGTACCCCATATCCATTGTCCATCTACGGCTATGATTGATTTGACAGAAAATATAACCTCTAAAATCGTATCTGACAATCAGGCGCTACTAGGGAAATTGAAAAGACAAAGAGCAGAATATATGTCTTATTCTTTTATTCACTCAAACCATTGTATTATAGAAAATAGAAAAGGACAAAAGTTCAGCTGCGTCCGAACTCTTATCAAACTAATACCATCCAGTGACTCTAGTATTGTAAACTCGAAAATAATCTGATAGTTATAGTTGTCAAAGTAGTGCATTTGCAGCCTGGTTGATTATAATAATATTCGTTCGTTTTCACGTGAACTGAACTGAATCAGTTGACATGCAATGAACGTCATTTGAAATAACGCTACAGTGCGAGAGCGAAAAATAATAATCATCGCGGTGGGGGGACGCTACAGCGCGAGACCACGGGTACTGATCATCTCAACGAATATCCTTAATTGGCGCAGAGAATTTACGGCCGAGAGTCCTAGTAAAGTCATGTAGCTAAAATATAAGCTTTTATATTGATATCAAATTTTCACATATTAGTTACATCATAGTTACGTTACATTTATATATAATTATGGGGTTCACATATTTTAGAATTGTTATGGAATATTTACGTAAATATTTAATATAAATACGAGGTTTACCTATTTTAGAGGTATTATGGAATATTTACGTAAATATTTTATATAAAAAAGTTCCGTTGATGTTATATAACAGTGATGTAAATATAACAGATGTGTTTCCTGGGAGATCTTGGCGTTCATTGAATGGTTTCTCTCCTACCAATCCACTGCCTCATAGAAATCGTTGATTCAACCATTCACTCATCGGTTGTTCACAAATATGATGGAGCTTCATTCAACACACTGAAATGACTATATTCATGACTAGATAGTTAATTCGATTCGAGCTGCTTCATCAAGAGCTCTTGATCGCAAACCGATCCAAATATTTTAAATTTTCTCACTAGATCGAGGAACGAAACGTTGCTTATTACTTTGAATATTTTTCAGGCCGACGACTATCAGACAGCTGATCAATTATTTGAAGATTGTTGGTGAGGCTGCCCCTAATACTCCACTGCTTTATTATCACATACCGGCATGGAGCGGAGTGAACTGTACGTACTTCTATACATTTATCACTTTTCCATACATTTTCATTTTCATTCAGTCATTCAGTAAAGTATTATCAGATTAAGAAAATGTTGTCACTATCATACAGGGTGTCCTGAATTCACACAGGAAGTTGTGAAGGTTTTTTGTGAATATTTTCGTCGTCACTGAAACCCATGTTTCTTCCAAGGTGATGAAAATATGATTGATGACAACCTGCATATGTGTTGTTGATTCTTCATGGCAATTGCGATTTTTTGTAATAAGAATATAACTAATTCTGAAATGTTCGACCTCGAATATTCAATGAAACAGCAGAACCGAATATCAACAACACAACCCATATATTTTTGATATCAAGAAAGGAAGATCTGAATTTTCACGAAAAATATAAACGGTTCAGAACGAACCCTACAACTTATATATTTGAAAATATCGACTGACCCTGTACTTTGGCGTCACCATAAACCAAAAGCAAGTCAACAAGTTCCTAATTATCGTAAAATTTCATTGTGGGCGGTAGTAGGGAAAGGGTTTCTTGAGTTCTCACCAAACAGATAATGATACGGCCAGGACCGTATCATCTATTATTTTTAATTCGATAATTGTTTGATAATTGATAATAATTCCGCTATTATCCAAATTTCTGTGCAGCGATATTCTGTAGTTCTGTCTATTTCAATGAATTTTACATCCTCTTGAAAAAATAAGCTTCACTTTTGAGAACGATTTGTCACACTAACATCAATCAATCAAAATAATCCATATGGCTATATTTCAGTGAATATGGCAGCGTTAATGAATGAAGCCGCCTCAGAACTTCCAACTTTCCAAGGTATCAAATACTCCACTGTAGATCTGGAAGGTGGCGTTGCTGCTCTGAAAGCATGTAACGGGAAATACGAGGTCTTCCTTGGAACAAATACGGTAATAGTTATTTTTGTATCTACAGCGCGAAATGCTACTTTGGTGATCGAGATCTGATTTTTTTAACGAGGCTCAGCCGAATTGAGAAAATAGTCGAGATGACCAAAGTAATTCGCGATCGAAACGTCAAGATATGCTCAGCTTGATATGAAAAATAGTGTTGAACTGGCTTAAAAGGCCTCCTCCTATTTTCCCTAGGTACGCACGATGTTCCACGAACATAATAGGAATTTCTTTTCGTGCGCTCCAAGAGATGAAACAATGTTATTGTTGAACATTCACGAATGAATTATTTCGGGGATGTTTGCTTGATTGAGGACCATGGAGTTGAAATATAAATATCTTACATAACAATGCGCGAAGTAGGTACTTGGTGAACAGAAAACTCATGATCGGTTTCAAAATTATTGAAAAAATGTGTATGTTGATGTGAATAGTAGTTGTAGTTTCTTGATGAATATTACATGTGGTATACCACAAGGGCCAATTTTGAGTCCAATTCCAATTCCGATTTACATCAACCCAACGACTAGGATAATTATAACCATATATCTAATATTTCCATACATTCCTATCACTCAACATATTGCTCCCAATGTATTCGTCTTTAACAGTCCATCTCAAAATTAGGAAATTCGACTAATGATGACTTTTTTATAAGATGATGGCAGCTGCCTGTGCAATGGGATTCAACTCCTTCATTGCAACAACATTGAACTTCTTGCCTCAATCAGCATCCGGTATCATGAAGGCAGTGAAGGAAGGTAGGATGGAGGAAGCTAGAAAGATTCAGGAACAGCTGACTGCCGCCTGCTCTGCGATAACCAAACACGGTGAGTGGTCAATCAATGTTTGTGGCACATCAGCAGTCCCGGACCATATACCTACTAAACATATTGACCTATCCAAGATGCTGTCAAATCATCTAAATCAATATGGCCGACTGTAGGCACACATACTTTCGTGTCGCAATATCTTTGTTATAGCGGTTCAAGGTTAATAAATATCCACTTTTATTCAAAACAGCCATTATCATTATTTGATATATCTACCAAATATTGAACTGCTGCTACGTAAATCAACAAAAAATACTTGTGTGCCTACAGGCGGCCATTAGAAATATGTCAAAAGTCACGTGTTCTGGAATGCCTAATACGGGTACTATATTTCCATGGTCAAAAGTGAAGCCAGTTTCGAGGAAACAAATGACAGTATGCGGGTTAAAATACCTATTTGCGCATGCGCGGGATTTCAGGATTTGTCAAAATCACGAGTCAAAATGGAGAACGAATTTCATCAAATATATTATATATTATATATTGTTATGTTGTTGAAGTTTCTCACCAATGCCTCTGAAAATAATATTCCTCCGCGAGAATTTTTTCGATAGTAGGAAAAGTACGTCAAAGCATCGATATTGATGTCAAAGCTGTCAGTGGAATGGGGAAAACTAAGATGGGAAAACAATGAGAGCCACATTCCACATTGAATTGTATAATAATTCAATCATTTTTATCTCGAAATTTCAGCCATTTGAGTTCTCTTGGAAATCGGCCGATGATGGAAGACGAACAGGTATACAAAGCAAGAAATAATATTATTTTGTTGAAGTGAAAAGTATACAGAAATTTGGGCTGATGGTTGCACAAACTACTGCTGCTTCGAAACTCTAAGCTCATAGAAAAACTTTGGTTTGTCTATGCTGAAGCCTCATGAAGTCAATCATGCCTGATTGATCCTTTTGCTCACTGAAATTTCTACCACATTTTTATATAAAGAACTGGAAGAATACAGTTGTGAAGCTCACACCCAAACAAGTGGTGAAAAAAGACAGGCATAGATGCTATGTATGAAGTAAAGCCTACAACACTATACTAGCTCTTACAATCAAAGGAAGACAAAGATTGAAGAAATAACTGTTGCATTTCCTACAAAATTAATCATGCTGTTAATGAAAAAAAATAATTCTGTGTTCATGGTAAATTGAGGGTCTTATTTAATTTCTAACTTCCATAAATAGGTTACTGATGATATTTGTTTTCCAGATAACAAATTCACTGCCCTACATACAAATACAATGAAGTAGGAAGAACAACATTTGAAAAGATTCCGTTACTGTCAAAATCATACTTGAGCAAGGTCTTGAGATAGAGAATAATGGAGATATATTCATGATCATTTTATTCTTATTTCTTGTATAGAATCACAAGCTTTCAATTATTCACAGTATTGATCATATTCTGGTTCATATGTTGAAATAAAGCAAAATTGAATAGGTACTCAATGAATTTTTCATTATTACAGAAAAAGTGAAAAAAAAAATTCATTGGATTGGCTACTGAAATTGCACTTGTCTTTTCTATGGAAACATAATAGGCACTTTCACAAGAATGATCAGTCCTGGTGGCAGTTGCATCAGCACTCTGGTTAGCAAGTTCTATCCTTCCAGCATCTTTGTCATTATCAGATTCATGTGATCCTCTTACTGAGGATGATTTGGTTGATATAGCTGAAGAATGATTAGAGACATATTCGAGTTTTTTATGGAAGTTATCATCCTCTTTTCCATTCATATCCATTGATCACAGGTTTTACATTTTGAATGCATTGTAGTTGGTGAATTCTGTGAAGGTATTTAATCTGCGTCACATTACATAGAACACTGGAGAGATATTTTCTCAAAATGAAAAAAATTACCTCCATAATCTGTTTCTAAGCAGTGTCTGCTACAGACAGGCATATATATTTGTAAATGGGCTTCCCAATTTTTGTTATGTTCTGCCACACTTCCTATAATTTTGCATCTTTTGGGAAGCTGTACATTCGTATGTTTATAATGTCTTGCACATGTTGGCCATTATTCGAAGTATTCTGAAACAAAAAACTTAAGCAAACTCGTTTCAAAACCGCGAATTGAAGCTGTTTGCTTCATCAAAACCACCTAAACTTCGCAAATATGAATTCCAGTGAAGTCTTGGTCATGATTTCTTGTCTGAGGCTTCAGATTCAGATAACAAAATATAAACATTGAATTTCAGGTTATGTCGTACATTCCACGAAAGTTTTAATAATACTCATAATTATGTTCATTACAAAGCCATCGCCTGCTGAAAGGAATTTTGCAAACTGATGTCTTTTCTTATTTTTAGATGACGCATGCGCTGTGATACAGTTGTGCTCGCGGACTGTCATTTATTTTATTTTTTGGCTTCACTTGGAGATCCTTGTTATCCGTATAATTATGTTCAGTAGGTATATGGCCCGGACAGGACCGGCGGGCAACCGGGCAAATTCCCAGTGGGCCGATGTCAAACCGGGGCTGGGGGGCCGTTGAAATGAATTTCGCAGGGCACTGATTCAATGCGAATGTCGTTTTCAACAGCTTTAAATTCATTCTTACCATACCATCGGCCCAACATTACTTTCCCGCCGTCGAGGTGTTCAAGCGGCGCCAGCCGGCCCTAATACACATTACCAGCCATTACATCATTGACTTAAAAGTGCTACAGCGGTCACAAATTTCAATGCACCATTGATGGGAGCGCTCAGCCACCAACGTTTATGCGCTTGCAAATCCGTTTCAAGGAGGATGAGTTTTTCGAGTACTTTCCAAGTATCTGACTGCGAACTATATACTATAAATGCGCATAGACTCATCCTCCTCAATACGAATTTGCAAGCGCATATACGTTGGTGGCTGAGCGGTCCTATCAATTATTCGGATTTATTGCCGCTGTAGCACTTCTAAGCGGCCTCCTGGACACCTCGACGCCGGGAAGTGAATTATATTTCAATAGTCGGTTGTAATTTCTCAAGTAGATCGGTGTTATCTGGGTATTGGAATTACAGTAAAACTGAAAATCCTCTTCCATTGCAACTCTTTCGTAGAACCATACATTTTTTAGTACGGCCCGACGTGACCTGATTGTGCGTTCTCAGATTCTGGAAGTTTTTTTTTCAGACTGAATACAAGTAATACAATCATGCATTATACAAAATAGTTGGAATACTTCTTGCCTCAATTTCAGCCATCATCATCAATGTCTCTTCGAAATTCCGAAGAAAAATATCCTCAGTTTCACTTAATTCTGATCGACTTTCAACGCCTTTTATTTAGTAACACTTACCTTATTATTCTACTACTCACATAGCACAATATCTTCTTCTGTATTGATCTATTTGATAGAACGACGTATATCAACATTTAACTCAGAAAAACTTGAGTCATCGAAAAAATAATCGTATTTGTTTTCATTAGAAGAAACATAGGTAACGAGATTTTTAGAAGTAATTCTGATCATCAGGACCAGTCAATAATGTATCAGTGTGTCAATTTCCTTCACAATGAATGATATTGATAATAATTTTCCTTTGGAATTTCGAGAAAACATTGATGATAGCTGAAACTAAGTCAAAACACAATCAAACCACACTGCAAAATACTGTTTTCAGAGTTACGAAAGCTTTGAGAATCTGTGAACACGTAATCAGTAGTAAGATAGTTCGAATTCATTTATTTTTTATTTTTGTACATTTCTAGAACAATTCCTACCAAGCAAACCACATAAATAAAATCATTGCATACAATCCCACACACAGTGTGGAGGTGGCTGGTGTTAGTCAAGGGAGTGGTTGTCCCATGATGATAGATTCTGAATAATCGATCCTCATATCCCGAAGTTACACTTCTTATGATCATTCGTACCCGAGGTGAACCCAGTTTGGTTGAGGTTTGTCATAAGTGGAAATTAATATTGGAAATAAGAGAAAATCAGAAAGCAAAAACCCTTCATAGAGTGCAGCCGCCTCGGCCTATGCAATCTACTACCATTTACAGAACCCACGCCCAGAATCGGTCTCTAAGTCAATCAGTCGACTGAGGCAGCATAGAAATACAGTCGAGGAACCGCTCGGTCCTCAGTGAGATTATTGCCACGCTGAGGCCCGTATCGTTATCTATCACTTTCACGATGTCCTGAATTTCCTGTAGCTTTCAATTTCGAATTTGGGAATCGTGCTATTCGTCCAGGGGTTTCCCAGGAACGTTGGTTGGCTCGTATATTAATTCGTACTTTTTATAGATTTCGTGTTCAGCTCTGGTGGCAGTGATATTCCTGGTAAGGGCACTGCCCCGGACATGGAATCCATAAAACTTGTTCGATATTTCACTAATATGCTTTCTGCTGTATGGAATGTGAAGACACATCTCGTGGAGAACTGCCATCCGAGAATATCGATCACCCTTGGTTATAATATGGAGAAGTTTGTTCTGCAGTACCTGTCCCCTACCAGTTTGGGTAAAAGAGGTTCTATACAGAATACTGGACAGACATATGTCATTACCAGTCCCATAATTTGCTTATTCGCGGGAATCAATGTTACCAGGTGGCGCTCGGTTTTCATCGTTCCATGTCAAAGCCACGTCAAAAGTGGGGGAAAACAAACTCAATCCTCATTGGTGCCATGACCATGTGTACTGTGTACTCATAAGAGTGATAAGTTTTTGAATTCCTTGACATTAATTGTCAATATTCGCTCGAAAACGCTAAAATGCCTGTTGTAGATGTTCTTTTGGCAGATATTTTGCTCTATTTAGATGGAAAAAGCCGACCAGTAGTGAAAGGAGAAGCAGTTCTCCATGCTAATCATGTAATTTTTGTGTGAGGCAGAAGACTTCAACAAAAGGCACATTTTTGCACTTTGTCTACAAATTTCGGCGATGAAATCTTCCCTACATGAAGTAAAATTGAAGTTGGGATCCAGAGGAACTCCTGTAGAACAATGGATTTGTATTTGTTCCTGCAAAGCAGCGAGGACAATCTGGGTATTGTAAACATGTTGTAGCTGTTCTTTTATATGTCAATTGATTTGCTCGTCATAATTAGTTTGTTTGAAGTATCTCCAATTCTTCACCCGTTCACTATTCACTAAACTAATGAAAATGTAATAATGTAAAAAAATTAACCAACTCAACCATCATCACTACCAACAGAGCCAACAATTTATGTCATTGACAAGTTCGACTACAGCTACAGCAAGCTGAATGCAATGTAGTCTATGCACTTAATCCATAGACAACAGTTTGTTTTCCCTCAGTTTGAAGTTCGTATTATGTAACCTAGATGTCGCCAACTTCGTGAATCTCGCGAATAGATCAAAAACTTGTTATCCAATGTCAGATTCCTTTGAATTGAGAAGTTGAAGTTGTTAGAAATGGCGAAAGTCTGTCCAATTTCACTCTCAGGTATTTCACGACGGAAGCGTCCGTAGCCTCTGCAACCTTGATAGTCAGAGGTCAGCGTAGTGTTTTATGACATTGGACATTGAACCCTCGTGCCAGATAGTTTCCAAAACATGTTCGACAGCCATCGTGACCATGACAATATATTTGTCTTGATCAAATGCCTCTTTCATCCTGTGAATAATTTGGGTCACTTGGGACGTGGTGCTATGTTCCTTGCGAAACTTGTTCATCAGGTATCAGGTTCAAGTGATCGACCTGGACCTCAATTAATCTGAGTTGAACACTATTCACAACCTCAGCCACGACGCTGAGCAGTGATATAGGCCAGTAGCTTCCAGGGAGTTTCGACTTTTTTTTTCAGTTTCCGTGAGGAATACAACTAGCCCAGTCTTGAGACACTTAGGATAGTGCTGGTACTTCATAATAGGCCACTACGTTCGCCATATCTTTCTGAACCACTCCTACAGGAGTCTTATTCATGTTGTTGGAATATTGTGAATATTTCCCAAGCACTTCTACTTCTGATAGATCTGACACTGCTTAACTACGATCAAGGAAAAGGCCCTTGGTGCATTTGCTTTTCAACCTCTTGGTCATCTTCCATAGAGTGCTACCTCAGAGATCCAGGGTCTCCACCTTGGCCCTCCATTCAGAATTTCTGTGCTCTCTGATTCTAGTGCCTATTAGCAGTGATATGCGGTTGAAGGCTCCTCTAGATTGGGGAGTCCTCAACCGCTGTCAACGTTCTCATACAATAGTCTTCCCAGATATGAGCTCAAGAATGTCCTCTGGGAGGGTGTCTTTAGTGGGGTCGATGCCGATCAACCTTGGCGTGCTCTCCCTTGGGGTTATTATAGCTTCTGTGAATTTTAGCATTTCATTATCGATTTCGAGCATGTTGGTGTTGTGTTTATTTTCGATTCTTTCGTATAGTAGAGCTCTGGATCCTTGTCAGTCTGAAGTTCGTTTTTTGGGTAGTCAGATACACTGAGCTTTTGACTTACTCGAAGGTATCTATCTCTCTCTTTCTCCCCCTCTCTTTCCATCTTTCTCTCCCTCTCTATCACTCTTCCTCTCTCTCTCTCTCTCTCTCTCTCCCTCTCTCTCTCTCTTTCTCTCTCTTTCTCTCTCTCTCTCCGCACTACCTATAATACTATCAAATCATTGGTTCCAATGTAGAGTTCGCGCTAAACATTCAATGTTACGAAATATTGTCGCAACATAATGTATAGCTTGCTTCCGTGATATGGAGATACAGAGTATATTGTATCAATGTTCCTGCTATATTTTAGTCAATAATTCAACAGGAGAAAGTACTGACAAATTGTTTCGTTTATACAAAGTGACTATTCATTCTAGTTATGATATATTGCATCAACCATAAATTTTTCCGAATGCAACAGCAATATAGCTAAATCTTTACCACTTTCACATTCACGATACCTGATTTCTTACGAGCTTGAGATGATTGTTGTTTCTTATTATTTTTAGGTCATTGGGTACCGACTATGAAAGTTGCCATGAACCTTGTGACTCCCATCAACGTCGGGAAATCAAGACCACCCCTGGACAATTTGACCGAGGCACAAGAAAAAGAAATGAGAGATTCTTTGAAAGCAATATCTGTCTTGTAGATAATCATAATCAATATTCATATATTTTTTTCTCCAATGTCATCGAAAGAGGCATTTCTATGACACTTAACAGTTAGCGAAAGGTGTTCTTTCTCTGCCTAGACAGGAAAAGTTTGTTGCTCTGCAACGTTCCAAACAATAAATTTGAATTATATTGGTAATCAAATTGGTAATTGAAATTGACAATGACTCTGGGTGAGCACAAAATGATTGATCTTCAAGACTTTTCCCCAATTTGAACAAATTTGTAGAAAGGATTATATTATGTTTCACAGCAAATTCTATGTCATGGCTGGTTTCCGAGCCTTGGCTACGCCTTGGTTATGAAACGCCAGTTGCTGCAATGAATTTTGTGCTTTCCTACCTGGTATAACTGATGAATATTCTATGAAATAATTGCTTTCAATATCTTTTATTATTCACCATAAAATAGTCTATTTTAATTCATCCATTAATTTTTTTCCAAGAATGGTGTTGTTTCGTTTTATTTTTGAGCAAATATTTCAGTTGATTTGAATGAACATATTACAAAATCTTGTTGGTCTACGCTCCTGCAGATGAAGCAGGATGTTTAATGAAGTTCTCTGCATTATCTGATATCCGCTAAAATAATTATATTTCGAAAAGTTCATGGAATACAAGAAAATTTAGTTTTTCGAGTTCACCACGCTCAAACATGAATTGAGAGCCCATTCAAGAATCTCTGGAATATTGATAAATGTTCGGAGATATTAACCTCGTTTCTTTTTTCTTGTCTGTCATAATTGAAAAGTATTCAGAATGTTGAGCTCTCAATATTTTTCAGCACAAAAACTAGACTCTTTTTGTTCAATTTGAGATTATATGGTACAAATGTGACATAAGTAGAGGCATCAAAGTTGAGAAATGTATTATTGTACATACAGAATATTGAATAATAACACAAAATACAATCCATTTATAATCAGAGAGTAGTTCCACATAATCTCAACCTTAATCAAGTTCAAAAACTGGTGTTTCAGTGAGCCATTTTGGGCATTTTCCACGAGAATAAAGTTTGAAGCAAAAGCCGTAGGTGAATGCTGCGAATCATACGAGTGGGCAATCAGCGTTTCAAACTTATGCACTATACTTCTTCTACGGCTGCAACAGATAACAGTGATTTTTTTTATATCTTTGGCTTGTAACCATATGATTTTCTCTTGAGCAATTAATTCTCATATATTAGACAGAGATGTCATTGCTTGAAATTCGATATTTCATGGGAGATTAGATTTCGTGAAATAATGATAATGAAGACATTGTGATATCAGATACATGAATGAATCTGTTTTAATTGCGATAGGCGCGTGTTCAGGTCCTTGACATACTTCACGAGCTACAGTGAGATTGATATTGTCTAGAGTCACTGGATATGGTTGGCCATTCAGTAGGATTACCATCGATAATAGGGGAGTATTTTTCCATAAGACTACAGTCCCTGCATGTATTCGACAATTTTGCTGTCAAATACATACAGGGACTCTATATAAGACGATACAATCTTGAATCATTCTCTTCGGGTGTTCTGCTTGCCTTATCGATAGTTCCAGAGAGTGTTTTACACAGCAACTGAATGTCTGGAATTTATCCTGGCGCACTTTGTTTGTCTTCCTTACTTGGTTCTTCTTGTGGTGATTGAGTTCCTATTACACTCTCATACTCCTGAATACCTGTCGATTTTCGAGATGGCGGTTGGGAAGTCGGTGTCACGACTGTTACGGCTGGATAAAAGCTCTCCACAGATTTCAAACTTTTACAATCTGAAGATTCATCAATTTCTCGCTGGTTGAAGTCGTGTTTTATTTGAAGTATTCTCAATTGATTATCAAATTCCAGTTTTTTTCATTTTATTTCCTTTAACCGCTCATAGGCTATGAACTATCACAATTTTCGAATGTTTTCGTTCACAGAAATTGACGCCTACTGTATTTTTTCATTCATTCAATACGAAACTGTTGATTTTTGTACACAAACATTCGAAAATAAAGATTTGTGATAGCTTCTATAGCATTGGGCTGTCCAAAGGTAACACAAATGCAATGGAAAAATCAAGTCCGTATTTTGATATAAAATAAGTTGATGATGGTTTCTGGAAGACGAAACGTCCGATTTCGAATTCAAAAACGCCAACTTCAGAAAAAGAAGAAGTCTTTATGATAAAGTGTCATTTAGTTCGAATAATTTCTTCGAATAACTCAAAAATAAGTCATGAAGAATTGAATTTTTTTCGGATAGCTCAATGTCATAATTCAACCAACACCGTTTCTCTTACGGTTTACGAGAGCTCAATGATGTGGATTTAATTCCAGCCACCCTATACATAATTAGTGATTTTCAATATTGAGAAAAACGTTCTATTATTCAGTATCTCAATCGTCGTTGATGAACCAGTGATTGAATCAGGATTTCCTGATTCAAATGAAATACTGAAATCAACGTATGATAATCGGTTGAAGTATCCAAATATCAATCAATCATTTTTTCCACATAATTTGAAATGAATCAAGTACATCAAAAGTTTCAAATATGTGAATTCAAAAGGTTCAAATGAACAAGAGTATGTTTCAATCTACTATTTTTTTAACGTTCTATGCAGTTTATTTCTACAATTATTATTGTTACGTACGTTGTGAATGTGTCGTGTCATTGAGATAGAATGACGTGTTCATTGCTTGAAAGCATCAACGTTTTGTTACAACATTCATTAGTGGTTATAGATGAACAAAAAGTGATGAATTGTTAGGAATAATGAAACGTCCAAATAACGTGTTCATTGTTTCGATTTATCTCATAGCGATAACATGGAATTAGTTGATCGTCAGACAAAATGGAACTATACAAAATAAAAGTGTCTGTTTATTCCTTGGTTCAATCTACAAGCAAATTTCAACGTTGAAGTTCTTCATCAGTAGCGTTATTTTCACGATTCCAACCGTTATTCAACGTTTCATCGACGAGTTTGTGTTCACTGGGTTGCCGTTCCATAGACAAACCACAGAATTCAAAGACCTATTTAATCAAGTGTTCCCTAACGTAGCTCGAACGGCAAATGTGAGCATGCGCAGTCCAGACGCGACTATGGCAGGGGCGGCCTCAGAATATTTGGTTATTAGGTTTTTGTAGCTTTGTTGAGAGAGAAAAACATTGTGAAAAATTCATATGATATTTATTATGATGGATTCCTTTATGTTATCAGGAATTATGTTCCGATGTATTTTCCATCAATTGAAGTGTTCATTGGATAGAAATGGGTGCGCTAATAAACAGGGCGTTTCAGGCTATATTATCAATAATTCACCATGATTCAACAAAAAGTGAGTCGGCTTGCATATTATATTCAATTTTTAACAGCTTTTTGATGGAGATACGTCCTTCTGAAGCCCAGTTTCAAAAATCGTTTCTCTGCTATAATTCTCAGGACAGAAAACAAAATATGGTGCAAATATTTATGAAATGGTTACTTGTTGTTTGACGCAACTAAGTTGTGTCAAAATTGTCCAGTGGAGTAGATACAGGGGAGTTGTTTCACTCTCGCCACCCTATTTACTAAATCACTAAAAATTATCCAGAATTGAGATATTTCGCCAAATTTCTTCACGGAAATTGGATAATTCAGTTGAAAAAACAGAATTCAACTTCTCAACAGTCACAACAGTGGCATCTCGCCTCAGAGCGGTCATCCAAGCAACGAATGGCAACTCTTGGTTAGCCTAAAATTTGAATCGATATCATTCATTTCAGAGATTTTTGCCAGATATTTTAGTTTGGTAAATTTAATCATGACAACATAATGGTATATTGTTCAACGAGCACGAAATGAGTCATTTCTCACGAGAATGAAGTTTGCAGAATGAGACTATGATTTTTCTGAGGCTCTAACAGAAAATAGCGAAATTTATTTCTTCGGCTTGTACCCATCTGATTTTTTCCTAAGTAATGCCCATCTATTAGACAGAGCTGTCATGGCTTGAAATGCCACATTCCATAGGAGATGATATTTTGTGAAATGGTATTACAATGGAAGTCATTGTAATACCAGATACCGAAATAACATTGATGACATGCAAAGTACCTCATTCATTTATCGAACACAGTGAGAAAAGATTAATTTTGTGTTATACCTGTAGAAACAATATATATAGTACAAAACTTGTTGACGATATAAATTTACCTGAAGTGAGACATTCCTCGAATTTGTTCTTCATTTTGACACCATATCATTCATTCCGAAAACATTGTACCTTCACAAATCAGTCAATGAATGTCGAATCAAATGAGTACAGTACTTAGTATAACTGAACAGGAAACACGAAAAAATGTCACTATGACTACAATAAACCATTCAAACTGAAATAAATTACTAAAACTCTTCAATAATCTCACATTCACTAACAAAATACGATGAACGCGTAGCAGAACACTGAATAACTGAAACTAATCCGGTTCTGTCTCAAGTCTACGTCAGACAAATGGCAGATGTATATTCCCACACAGTAGCCAGATAAACTTGTAAGGAATAGAAGTATACATGATAATTCATTGTTCTCTTGTTAGCCATTCAATCAATATCAGTGATTCTATGAATTCTGTCGTGAAAATTCCATATATGATTTATGTAAAGCTGTTGATCATCAGTAACAAGGAATAAACACTACATCCAAATGCATAAATTCGTGATTCGCGTATCTAAATTTATGGCTGACAATTTTGCCATAAGCATACTAGATGCATCAGGTTTCAGCGATATCTCACACTTGCATTAGCCTTCTATATCTGTCAGACGAACGAGTTTTTTTCATGAAGTGCTGTTCGACATATATATTTCGAGGTTGACAACGAGAGGATGTTCTGACTGGGCTTGTCGAGCTCGCCTGGCTGGTATTGCTAGTGATGGAACGATGAAAGATATTCCTGGATAATATTTCCCGTGGAAGTATCTATAGATAACTGAAAAGTCGTCAACTTCTTCAAGAGGTTCCAATGTGAAAAAGTTAGTAAATGTTGCATCACCTACCATGCAAGTACTTATTTCTCTGGATGGAAACTTAGAATATCAACGAATTTCTGAGTGCTGAACCCCATATTCGAAAACACTATCCTAGAAGAGGCTGTATCTGTGCTTTGTAGATTATGAGAAGCCTTTCGCACGAAACAAGAGTCCGGGTTTTTGGGAAGCTGCCTTCGCGATGGATCTGACATGATTATTCCATGAAAAAGTATGGCCGATAGAAAAACCGAGCATAGATTTAGTGGACTTGGTGAGAATGATGGCATGGAGGCATAATGAGTTCCGCTTTCTTGGACAAAATTCAGGTTTGAGTTTTGGAGGCACTGAATTCAACTATAGGTTGTTGGTTTCCCAGGCTGTAATTCCACCAAGAACTTCATCGACCGCGTTGACCTGTCTTTGCCGTGACTTCTCAGGTTACTGAAAAAAAAAATGGTAATTCTGGAAGAGAGAGAACGCAGTATGGAGAGTTCTATCATCCAACAGTGTTGGTGCCAATACTGGTCCTTGTTGAACGCTGGAATTGATGGCAATGGTATCAGACGTTACTCCGTTCACCACCACACGCTATCTACCTGCAATAAGATTCAATAAAAGATGGCATAGCTGAGGTGGTAAGCCGTATGATGGTAGTTTGTGAAGGTGTCCTTGGTGCCAAACTCGGTCGAATGCTCTTGATATATCTAACGCCACAACTAGAGATATCCAAGTTTTTCTAATGAAGCGTGCCATATATGGTTGACATAGGCGGGTAGATCTCCAGATGATCTTAGGTGGCGAAAGCCATATTGTCTATCATTGATGATTCCTGAGCTTCCCAGATATTTGATTAGCTCAATATTGATGGCTATCTCAATCACTTTGCAGATAACTGATAACAGGGCAATTGGCCTGTAGTTGTTCGGCAGGTTTTTGTTGCCTTCTTTGGGCATTGCTTGGACTTTAGCGACCTCCCAGCGACTGTCCCAGTAATATGGAAAAATACCCGACCTGTACGAGATGATAAATAACTTGCAGAGAATCAGTGCTGATTCTGTTGCACATTTTCTGAGGATGATGGGTGGATTTTCATCAGAACCGTTACCCTTATCCATTTTGAGGCCAAACGAAATGCATCTGATAGTACGTTGTTCGACTTTCAACAGGTGGAATACCTGGCGTTCCTTGGGAATCTTGAGTAGAGTGATGTGCCGTATGATTGAAGTGGGAATGACATCTTCATTCATAAAGGCAAGATGGAATAATTCCAAATATTATCAATCTACTGAGAGTTTCCATCGTACTGAGCGTTGAAATATGTTTGTCATCTGCTGTTCATGTTACTTACAGCTTTGAAGCAACTGATCAATATAATATTTCTACTGTCATGATCATTATTGGAGTTAATTTCCATTTAATGGGCTTATATCACAAAAAAAATTATTTCATAATTCGATAGAACTCACCCAAACTAGCTCACCACCGCAAACCGTTTCTTGCTGTGAGCTCCCTACGTTTTATGAAAAATTAATGAAATTCACGATTTTTCGGACCTCTGAAAACGAGGCGATGATGTGACGTCGCAACCCTGATACTGAAACAAGATTATTCCAGACAGAGATGAATGATACATGATTTCTGACAGAGTGAATTAGCGCTAGATCACAGTTGAAAGAATCAATATATCAGTTGCCTCAGTCTCCGTCGGGCGTTTGGTAATTTCTTTCAACTATGGCGAGATGAGGTTTCTACGTCATAAGAGGGTCCGTTTTCAAAAGGTACTATTATTCATGCCCAAAAATAAAATATTCCCAGTTAATTTTTCGATCGAATTATGTCGTCAATCATTATTTATGTATAAAAGGATCATTATAATCATGGTTTGAGTTAAAAGTTCTACTTAGGTGTACACGCCCATTAAAAATATTCTCCCCATATCATGCAAAGTTTTCAACTATTACTGAATATTTGCAGTGGGATGCCTTTATTCTTGACACTTAACACTCAATAAACCCATTAGCAGAATGTGGAGATAGTAAGGGTGGAAAATAACTTTCATTAGAATCCAAAGATTTTATAGATATACTTATTTTATTTAAAACATGAATATTGAGTGATGTGAAACAAATCGTCTTTAAGCTATCAGGTTCTCGTCATTTTCTTCCACAACAACAGACATTTTGTGTTTTTCGACCTGTTCAACTTTCTCTTCATCCGTGTCCAAAGGACTTATATCTCTGAACGACATTTTCCGACTCCTCTTTCTCTGGTTCATCATAACTTCAGGAATCAACTTTGTTTTTGTTAAAAGGTGAGGACCCAGTAGAGTCGTCAGTAAAGCACCAGTTGGTGCTGTCAGTATTATTGACAAGATGCAAGTGGTTAGAATTCGTTGTCCAATTTGGGTGTCCGATGTATCATTGTTTTTCTTGATCATATTCAACGCAACTGGCCCCAAAGCAGCCTGAAAAAAAATCTGTCAATAAGTTATCTGTGTAGTTGCCTTCAAACGGGGTTACTTTGCAAAAGGTTTTCTTGAAGCAACTGAGATATTGATATTAGTAGGTAACATCCGATAAAATGAACTGGGTAATGTTGACAAAGATCTTGATTAGGTGATTTGTCAATTGTATCTTTCTCCAGATTGCTACCTGACAAGGAATAATAATCGTCGAAGTGACCAAAATCTAGAGATTTCAGACCGCTCTTGACCATTCCACAATGAGGAGAGTTAGACTAGGGAAACTCTATCCATCCTTGATTATACAATCGAATATACATAACATTATATGACTTCTATGATTTTCAACTATAACATTGTGGAAAAGCTTACTTTTCATTTCGAATATTTCATGAGAGTCGTCTTAGTGACATATTGCCTGAATATTGTACTATCAATGATAAAATATTTCTGATTCATTTTGTGTTCTACTGTACCTGAGGAGTACAGCTTCTTTTTCATTTCAGATACTTTTTGCAACTCCAGACACAGGCTGAAGTAAATCATTCAATCCCTCTTGGGATTGCTAGGTTATTCAATTTTTGCAAAGCTAATTGATTCAATAATAACTAATTGTTACTTGTCAAATTGAATGGGCTGGTGGACAACTTTTTTCATTTTTAAATAAACTGGGCGTCAATTGAAACGTTAATAGTGAAATTTGGCATCAAGTTTGACTTCTCGTAATTTCTAAAATATTGAACGAATTTTGAACTGCCGCCCAGATTCTGAATGCCTTTTTCATCGTCTCTCGAACCGTTCCTTACAGCTTCTTCTAAATTGATTAGGACTCGTGATACAGGGCGAAACAAAGTTTCGTGCATTTCGAAAAAAAATTCTCCGCCCCCCCATTTTGTCGGAAAACCACGATGCTCATATTTTATCCGGGCATTTCATAAATAGCAACCATACCTCGGGACCTTTTCGAGTTTTTGCCAAAAACTACTGTGGTCTCAAAAAAAATGTTTCCTTGTATTTTTTTTAAATAAACTAATTTTAGAGGAGTTCCATAATTGGGTGCTTTTATGCATTACAGGAAAGCGTTGGAGCAGATATGTATACCAGGTTACTCAAAAACAATCAATAATTTATTACTTCGCATCAGTCTATGATAAAAGTTTTCAACCTTAGTGAGCAGTAAATCAACACATCTCATCAATAAGAACAAACAACGATACCCTGTTTCTATAACGTATTGTTTAAACAATGTAGGTATGCATAGAGGTTATATCAATTTGCCAATTTTCATGAAAACGTCAGTGTCATTCGGGCCCTAAAAAATTTTAAGATGCCTCGTTTAAATCGGGTCGAAATGGAAAATATCATTAGGTAAGATCACTATAGTGATATAAACTATAATTCAGTACAGATAATTATTATTTCAGGTTACGACGATTAGGATATACCCAAACTCATTTAAGTACCATTTTCAATAAGTCAGTCATGACAATAAATAGACTGATCCATCGTTTTGAGGATACAGGTAATCAGTCCATTTAAAAAAATGCAAAACAATTTTTTTTTTCGGAAACCACAGTAGTTTTTGGCAAAAACTCGAAAACGAAAAAAATGGGGCGGCGGAGAAATTCTGTTCAAAATGCACGAAACTTTGTTTCACCCTGTATCACGGGTCCTGATCAGTTCAGAAGAAGCTGTAAGGAACGGTTCGAAAGACGATGAAAAAGGCATTCAGAATCTGGGCGGCAATTAAAAATTCGTTCAATATTTTAGAAATTACGAGAAGTCAAACTTGATGCAAAATTTTACTATTAACGTTTCAATTGACGCCCAGTTTAGAATCATCACTCAATTATTCATCAATTCCATATCTTTTTAGATTTTTTCGGTCGATTTCAAGGTGCTTAGATCATCAATATTGTCCCGGTTATTTTCCAAAGGCCAGAAATTCACCGCAAATGAAAACTGACGTCACGATTTCGTGAGTAGGAGAATGGTAGGAGCAGACCAATATAATTGCCATGTGCTGAAATTCGGAAACTTCAGAAATATCATTCATTTGATAATTTAGAAATTCTCAATTAGTATACTTGCCGTCGACAGTATAAGATAATGAAGAAAATCCCAGAAGAACGCAAATATTTGCCTTATCCTTCTCTGCCACATATAGTGTTGGGGGAAAGTGGTGCAAGAATTCCTAATATCTAGTGCATAATAGCTAAATTCTCAATGGGTAACGTTTTCCTCAATTCAATCCAGTTCATTATTTAATGTGAGTTCATTTTTCCTCTCCGTTTAGATAATATATACGAGTAAATCAGAGATCGATTCTAGGTACTTCATTACGAATATAAATGCAGGGTAATGATCCGATTCATCATTCATTTGAAAGTTATTAAAAAAATCAATAGCGAATGAAATAACATTCGCGTATACAAGTTGAAGGTGTTCATTCAGTAAGTACTAACCGAATTCTCTGATCACGACTCAATGTCTGTATTGTCATAAATTCAGATGTTTTGTACAGATAATATGAATATAAACTAGAAAAGGGAATTCGAGAATTAGTGCAAATATGTCGTTTCATGACCATGTATCAACTTCCCCATTAATCACACTGTGTTCCATTTATTTGAAATCTTTGTATTCCTACGAACTCAGAATGAATGCTGCGTTGCCAAGTTTTTATTATTTGTAGAGATTTTTGACAAAAATGACTTTTCTCTGAACTGATATACATTATATAGGTGTCTTGAAATGACTTCTCTTCCAACACAATTATGTGTTACATAAAATTTTTGTGTCGAATTTGGTTTTCTCAATTCATTTCTTAAATACATGGAATTTAATGTTCTACATACTTCTCGATCAAATAATACGGGAATATAGTTAGTAGTTACTCAATAAGTACTTCAAAGAATTCTGGTTATACATCGATAACTTGTTGCATAATCGTTACAAAGAGTATCAGTTTAACAGTTGGAATGATCCGACCGCGAAGCGGTCACAAATCAATAACTATAATATTATGGCTTCTTCCCATTAGATCAAATGACATATTCTACTTGGATATTGTTTTATTCAACGATATGGCTCTGGCAACACTTCAATACATTTAATATGAATTGTGTAGGAACTGACAACCTCGGTCCATGAGTGGAAATGAAGAATTATCTAACCAATAATGAAACAGTGTGAGAAATGACGTCATGATATATGCGAAATGAGCATTGAAATTCAACTTCAACAACGCGTGGACACATAATCTACACCAAGAACGCGTTGAAAGTACCACAAAGATTAGGTGAAGCATTGAAAAGTACCCTACCTATAGTAGGGGCTATCATTTTCTGACCCACTAGTTGGTACAACTAGAGCGTGAAGTATATGTTGAGGTCAAAACTTTTGAAGTAGTCGAAAAGTTTGTAGCAAACTAATAAAATTTCGATAAATGATGTTGAAATTTGGATTTTTTTCTCATGATAGCTTACAAGTTACAACAGATTTTTGTTTTGAGCGCCATTTGATTCGATTTTGACAAAACCGAGAATGTTGACTTGATCTAAAATGGACTGTTCACCTGAAAGATAAATCTGAGAAAAAACACTGTTGGAACTAAATATTATTCAATGAATGACTTTCGGATTATTCTGACAACACCTTTTCACAATGGTGGACATTGACTGGTAGTATTTAGATTGAATTTCACAAACATGAATAGATAACTGTGGATGGTTTGAAATACTATATTGGGACGTACACTCATGAAAAATAGTTTTATATTCAAATATTACTTGAATATGCAGGTAACATTATCAGATTATTGTCTCCTATATCAAAAAAGGTTATGAATTCTAGTATGGGGTGATAACTCTATTTGAAAAAACATTGGGCAATGAGATCATTAGTTTTACTCAACCGTCTACAAAACGACCACCGATCACCGCAAAAGCTGGACAGCTCAAAAAGAAGACTATGAGTTAGCCTGCATAGAAGACAGAGCCTACTTCTTGAGCCTTCCGGATGCAGACAAACAAGTAACTGCCTGCGTATGGCAGCTCCCAGTAGTGGTGATGGGGTAGGACGTTCAACTTCCAGCCCTGAAGTTGATGATGAAACAACCAATTGTGATAGCGTTCCAGCTCCCAGTTCAACAGGCGATGAAGATGCAGCCGATGAAAAGGTTCAGCCCCAGGTTGGACAACCTTGTAGTCAATGCAGTACTATTGACGAGACGATCCCAGGAAACTCCTCCTGTAGAGCAGACTTGGTCGATGTGGCCACGTGTGATGCTTTCCAGGGCTCCTTCGCGATGCTCTCGTGTTCTCAGCGTCCCGGGTGATTCCAAAAATACCAAACTTGGCATCCAATAACCAGCAGCAATGCCGAGACGAAATGGCCTCCTGAGTGGCTTGAATTGGGTATCCCAAGGAGGTCCACAAATCCCTAGCAGGAAAGCCCTCACTTTTCTGGAGAATATTCAGCAAGTCGTTCACTTCCATCTTGCAGCACAAAAGTAAAATTGGCAAGAAAGGAAACGATAACTATATTGAAAAATACGGCAATCACACAGCGCAGCCCTAAATTTCCACATTGACACGTGACCTCTGCCCGACACCGTGATTGGCCTGAAAAGAAGAAGACGCGACGGAATCCCGATTTGGTCTGACCTTATCCTGTACCATAGAAACAACGGAACAACTGAATGATGCCCATGACTTTGACATCCACACAGAACCACTGAGAGATAGCCTCTCGATGAGTAGCTAGCGTCAGTGATGTGAACAGTAGGCTTTCTACTGCTGGGCTATTGAACGTTCCATCCTCTAACAACGTCGAATGCTTGGTGGTATGTGGTGCGATTGCGAAGAGTTTCGTGCGTTGTCCCTTGACACTGTCCTCATATCGTGACCTTTGTTGTGGTTTAGATTATAATGGTACCTAGGTTACTTACTTGCCTAAACTTCGCTGGCCATAATTTGATTCCTAGTACTCGCGTCTGTTTGTTTCCATATCTAAGACTATCTCATTTGAATTATAGATCATCAAACGCTATATTCAGTATGTCGAAATTAGAGAACTCACAGTAAAGTGAACATATCGTGTGAATATTGTACATAGTTTCATTTCGAACAAATCGACTTGGGGAATCATTTATGGAATTGATGGTTTGTTTTGGTCTAGGTTACTAAGTTAGATCACTATTTTGATCAGCTGATCGGTAGTAAGAGATGTGAATATTTCAGTCGATAGTGCTGAACAGGACCACACTACCGTTGATTATATGTGGCTGCGGCGGGCACACTGCCTCGATACAGGACGTTCGCTTGGTGAGAATGGTATAGACCTTGGTACCCATAGATGTTGTCCTAATAAGGTCTATATAACTCAGGTAGTGCTTAGTGCCAAGGTTTGTCATGTTCTGTGCGTTCTGTCCTTGTTTGGGTCTAACATGTGTTTCTATGCTTCTGTGGATCCAGGGAGATCAATGGAAGCTATCACTTTATTACTTCGAAGTCTTTGGGAAAGAGTAGCGAAATATAGGTGAAACCAATAAATTTGAATTTCAATTCATCCTCTGAATGAGGGATTAGGTTTCACTCTCAAATACCAGTTGCCTTGTAGAAAAATTGTTAGATATCGTTCGAGGTATATATTTTCGGAAACTGTCCATTTTCATGGGATCATAGAGCCATCGACAGAAAGTGAGGTTGGAAACACATGTACAGAAAACCCTTCTTCAAGGGAAAAAGACCAGTATTAGTCAGATTTTGAATGAAATCCATCGTTTGGAATGTTGCTGTCTGATGGCCCCCTGTTAGGACTCCCAGTTGGGATCACACCGTAAATATTGTATACACTGGCTAGGTTGAGTGATACTGCCTCCTTGAAAAAGGTATGAACTTCCAGAATTCTGGAACCAGTGAGTATAGGACTTTCTCATGTTTCAGGGTTTTTGTGTCAGATTTTTTGTGACAGATTTTTGTGCCAGCTTTTTTGTGTCAGTTTTCCGTCCCAGATATTTTTCTTATGCCAGATTTTTGGCATCAGGTTCTTGTAACCAGCAATGTGACCGGATTTTGAGCACTCCTATTAATGGTATACAACTTTTGATGTTAGTTCCGATAACTGGTGTCCTGTCCTGCAACTGATATTCTGTTCTGTAGCTGGTAGCTGCAGCTGTATAGCTGAGCCAGACTTCAAGCCTGTGATTGGACCATGGATGTCACGCAAGTTTTTCTTTAATTGTTCTACTTGATCATATCATGTGTTCGACATATTTTTCATGATTATTATCTGATGATTATTATGATATCCACCTGTAAACGTAACAGGCACTGTTGCAACCCTGCGTGGTACGAAAGTATAGTATAACATATGGACCTGGTAGGTCATATTTGAATATTTTGATTCATCTTATGAGACATAGCAAATAACTATGAAGTCATGATTTATTCGTCTGGGTGGGTTATTATATGGATTATAAGGGTGTGGGATAAAACTGGGATTTAAATATTATGTAATACTTGGGTGATATACCGTCAGGTTCTGATTTGAACATTTGAAGTAGTCAGTAGTCAGTATACTTGTTAGTAAATACCTGATTATATAAAGCACTTGTAACAGAATTCAGGAATTCAGGAACATGCTTTATTAATGTGATTTGGGGAAACAAAGCCTCGCTGTCAGGTAAACGTATAAATAGAGATATCAATAAGGAAATTTGTGATATCAACGTTTAGAAGATTTGTGTGCGAGAATTTGAATCCCTGGGGGAATCTCCCAATTCAGTATTACTGGGTGAGGAAGTGTCCCTGATTTAGGTATGTGGGATTTGCCCATTTTCTGTATAAAGGTATTATGTTTATGTCAATTTTAGAACTCGAACTCATCTTGGAAATAAACTGTTTGGACCTTGATATTCGCATCTGATTGCTCAGAACCTTTACACACTTCAGAACCATTAGTAGGTACTGTCATGAAATAGTGTTGTTAATTAAATGTCATAGTATTGGGAAATGTTTGCCTTTTGATTTAATATATCTAGAGCTGTTGGAATTAGTATTAACCATGGTAAGTGGGGTTGATATGAGGTCATTGTGAGAGTATGCAGTCCACATTCACCTGGCGCCCTATATAACATCCATTATTTTGGAATAAATCTGAACCCATTCAGTCGCGAGCCCATATCCCTCTGTCAGCAAAGGACAGATATTTGTCAAATCTTCCAGTAGGATTGTTACAGCGTCTAACCCCACCTATTTCCCAAGCCCCTGATCAAAATCTCAGGAAATTCTGAACATCTCCAATTGGACAAAGAGTAAGCTTTTTTCGAAAAATTTTATTATCTCAGCACAGAGGTTTCCAAAATACTCTCGTTTGAATGCCTTCAACCACCAAGGAGGCCTTTTCTGAACCCATGTTCATATAAACTCAATCCATTTTTTTTGTTCCTGTAATCTGTGGTTGAAATCAATCTATGTCATTCCGGGACACCCTGTTTATCATATTAAAACCGCGGAAACACCGTTGTGACACGAAAATCATGAATAATTAGTGACACTTTTGCAAGCATGCATCATCAAGTTTAGTGACTTTCTACTTCTGAACGAATCATTCTTCCACACTCAGCATCTTACCCACCTGCACGATTGCCTTGCACATCCACGCAATGGAAACAAATACTTTCTCCTTCAAATTCAAACTACAGCCAATCCCGATCACACCCGTCACCAGCATCCTCATCAGTCCTGAAGCCAGTAGCATCCCAAGGGCCAGTAACACTACGTTTCCATCTAGCTCGTGCAGCTTAATCCTGGCTCCTGTGATCCCGAATAAGATCGGCTGGAAAATCATCCAGAAGATTTCGAAGGCCGTCGCGGCAGGGTTATCTTCGATGTCCCAGTCGTTCCTGGACCAGCAGGTTATAGCTACGAAGGCTGCGGCAACACAGGCTAGCGGTCCCGCTCCACCGTAGCCTATCAGGTCGCTACCGAATACTGCCCCCATGCCTCCAGTGAGGAGAAGGAGAATACGGAGGGGGGTAACGAAGGGGTCGTTGCGCTCTGGAAAGTAGTTGCAGAAGATTCCCCAGATGACTCCACTGCCTATTCCTGAAATGTTATGAAATGGGATTCAGTATCATCAAACAAGATGCCATCTTCCATTCAAGTGATATTTACAACGTGTCATAGAGTGGTGTTTCCTGCGAATTATGATACGTTTATTTTCAATAAGAATCGTTCCATACTCATGGTGATAAGGAAATAATTAGTCACTGCAAATCGCAATTATTTTTTAGAAGATATATCGTTCTTTCCGAGGTTTTTTCCATCTGACCCGAAAGTACCGTCAGGAACTAAAAACACAATGATTCAGCGAAAAATCGAATGGCTGTACGATTCACCCCTGGCCGATAAAGAGTTGCTTCAACTTGCGGATACAATTCTACTGGAAGATTCACCCCTAGATAATAGCATTTCGACTGATTCAGAGGAAGATGACGACGATAACATCGATGACCGATTCGAAAATACGCTAAAAAAACTCCAACAGCCAAAATGCACGAAAACCGAGGCGCTCTGATTGGGTTACAGCAAATGTTGTACACTCGGGGTTTTCTTAGGTTCAAATACCTAACAAGTGCGAAAAGTCACTTTATGCACGTGCATGAAGTGACTTTTTGCACTTACTCTTCCAACATGAAAATGAGTCTTCAAAAGTGGACGTTTTCGCATGCTAGTAGAGAAAAATTGTTCCATGGATTACCATCAAATTTGAAATGATTTTTCTATTTGTTGTGCTTGAAATAGCTTTTTTGCCTTATATGTAATATGATGTGCCTTTTCATACATTGGACTAAAAACGTTTCGTTTTCATACAATTCATTCCTGATGGTACTTTTGCATCCAAAATCCAAAAAAAAAATATTTTTCCAACCGAAAAAATTTTAAAGATTCATAGGTTTTAGTTGAACATATAGGAATTGAAAAAAATCTGTCAAATCTGATGATATGTTGATTTTACTGAGGTTGGGCACTAATGGGTTAAAAAAATCAATGAACGTGTTACAAAAATTAAAGAAGTGTGTGTGTCAGTGGGGAAAATATAGTGTCAATACTAACTACCCAGTAAATTACCTGCAACTATGGAAACCATTCCCAGAAGCACACCAGTAGTGATAGAAGAGTTACTGAAGACAATCCCTTTGATTATACCAAATATTGCTACTGATAAAGCATCATCTATACTGGCCACGGCAATTATAAGCGTTGGTATGCCTTTTGCTACTCCGTATCCTTTGGATCTCAAACGAAATAGACATGGTACCACTACTGCTGGAGCTACAGCAGCAATGATACTGCCTGAAAATGATTTCAATAATAATGAGATTGGTCATGCAGGAATTCCAACATTGTGAAATGTGCTAGTTGCACGGTGGAAGAAATATATTGTCATTAGTAATACTATAGGTACTTCAAAATTTTCGAGTGATTCATCATAACTTGTTGCATAATTATCATGAGGAGTCGTGTCAGTTTAACAGTTGAAATAATCCGACTGCGACGATTTTTTTTCGATCGATAAATTGAAATGATGATACTAATCTTCCTTATTTGAACAATTTTTGGACTGGTTGAACATCGAATCATTGCACTCACCTAGAAGTATTCCAAATTTCCAGTCGATTCCTAATAAATATTTAGAAAAAATAACAACAACTCCAGCTTCCGTCAACCATGGCACCAATCCCAGTTTCAGTACTGTGAATTTCAGTTTCTTCAGAGCTTTTGGGTCGAGATCTAGCCCTGCTCGTGTCAATATTATAACTAAGGCAACATCGCTGAAAAGTATGAACTATGAGATTTGCAATAGTAAATACTCTCATTATGCTTCTCACACAAATAATACTCCTAGATGATATAATTATAGAATTGATTATTTCATTCACACCTGGCTAAACCTTTAAAATTTCTAGATTGAAGTCACATAATATATACGATATCAGCAGCTATTTAGGTAAACAAACAATATGAGCGGCTATTCTGTTCGCCAGCATAAGAGTGCTACGGTTGTCAAACTTTGACATACCTATCAGTCACTCAAAAATTGGACTGTCTACCTGGGTAAGACGGTATATTTCCATGACTACTTCATAGCAGGCAATCAAAAATCCTGCCACACAAACTTCGTATGAGTCGTAATAGTTCAGTACTGGGCTATATACCAGGAGTTATAACAACATTACATATTTTTATGAAATTGCAATTCCCTATTTTGATAATACAGCTAATTTTTCTGCGTTTGGATGTAATATTCTTCTTGATTTTTTATTATGCTCCATATCCGTTTTTTCGTGAAATAATAGATATTTCAATTATATGATGTTAATTCTAGCTCGCTGGTGATTGACAGTGAAGCCAAAACAAAGCATTCGAATCGAATGCACTCCCAGTTATGGCACTGCTTCCAATACTCACTGAAAATCATTCCACAATATTTTCGAGTCTTCTAGGTATATTTACCTCAGATGTTTATTAATATCACTAAATGATTCATTTATATCCACAACTCCGATATTTTGCAATAGAAGTCCTGTGAACAGCATTCCAATCAACGCTGGTAACGTGGTCAACCCTATCAGCCACCCGCCGATATGGGCACAAATGCTTAGCAGGATGAGTTGAAAAAGCTTTCCATTTGGAGGAGCGGCTGCATTTCCTGTAATTCGAAAGGTTTGAGATTATCTTCAATTTTATTGGATCTTGACAACTGGATTTCGTTAAAATAAGCATATGAGTAGAGGAAGCAAAGTATACTTATGATATCGAAAATCTGTGATAATGTTAATCTTCCACAGTTAACGTAGGGTGCACCAGTCTGAGCATTCAGAAAACTGATGTTGACTTAAATACTGTCTGTAAGTTAATCGAGGAGGTGGTACATTCATTATTCCAAATTTTTTGGGATTTTCTCTCCTCGTTTCTATAAAATAAAAATATGAATATTATGTCAATATACGTGTAGTAAGGACAAATCAGATGATTTGCCCCGAAATGTCACTGCGTTTGAAGAATTTTCCTATCAGAGAGCCTGAAAGAAAAATGCACTAGCTTTTCAGTGACAATTTGTATTGAAACATTTTTGGAGAAGAGAAATGGAGGTATATAGAAAAAATATCAAATTTTCACTTATCTTTGGACGTTGAAAACGGGAGCAGAATCGACCCCGAAACGTCCAAAGATAAGTGAAAATTTGATATTTTTTCTATATACCTTTACTTCTCTTCTCCAAAAATTTTTCAATACAAATTGTCACTGACAAGCTAGTGAATTTATCCTTCAGGCTCTCTGATTGGAAAATTCTTTAAACGCAGTGACATCTTGGGGCAAATCATCTGATTTGTCCTCACTACACGTATATTGAAATAATATTCATATTTTCATTTTATAGAAACGAGGAGAGAAAATCACAAAAAATCTGGAATAATGATGTTGACTTCTCAACACGTTGTATTCATTTATCGGAAATGTGTCATGTTTGGAAGAAGCTCCATATTTCAGCTTGCTTGGGTTAATTTCAACACAGCAGCTATTTCTCTGAATTCAAGACGCTTTGTATGTGTGAGACCACTATCAAATATTGTGTAAGAATTATCTGTTGGGAAAAGGGTACCTGACAATTTGTTGCACAAAATATCAATAATGATGATAATAATAGTTATTTGATATGAGGTGTAGCGAATATTATCACCCAGGGACCAAGATCATATCCCGAAGCTTCAGGCGAGATGTATAAGGTCCCACAGCAATGATATTCTTTACTACCAAGGTGTTTATCCAATTTTTTTCACCACTTATTTCCATATATTTCGATCATTTTATTCCTGTGAAACTGAAATATGGACCTATCGTCACTATGAAAGCACTGCTCTTCAATTCTCGTAGCAATTCAGTAAGAATAGTCATAACCAAGACATCATAATTATCTGAAAAGTCGTTATTGATGAATACCTATCTACTAGATTTGAGTGTCATTCCAGCAAATCCCGCCTCAGTACAGTGAATTCAGGTTGACAATAATAGAGATAGCTATGTTTTATTGAATCCCAGGTAGCAGAGTGACCTGAGAAGACGTCATATTCACGTCAGTTTCACATCATTTGGTCCACGACTTCTTTCGACCCAAACATGACCTGAAAGTGACGTCATATTTCATGAATTCTTATCAACGTTCAATACTGGTGGTCTCCATGACTTTCCTGCATATTCGTATATTCTTCCATTCGACCAGATAAAAACAATCAGCTGCTCTCTCACCTTTTCATCGTCTGTCATATTCAATTTGTGTTTGTTTGCAGTGCATCCGTAAAGTACCGAATAAATTCATGTTCAGTCAAATTATCTATTTCTGAGGAATTTGCTGAAATAGATTGATTTTATTTTTGATTTGCCATATTAATAGGAAAAAACAGTATATTCATTGTGATCCACGTACAAGTTATGACGACCACAAGATTTTTTTCCAAAAGAACATTCAGAAATGTTTTTTCACACATGTGGATTGTGTACTGTGCATCTAATGAATTCACTACTCTCATCAAAGTAATTTCTCCTACACGAATTATTCTGTTTTAGTTAATCACATTTGAAAGAAAGCTCGAATTGAACTGGAATTCTACGGCTTTGAGCGTTCTTTCAGAAAATTATTTCTTCAATTTTCGACGGATTCATCCTCAACTTCACAAAAGCACTTGATTCAACTAACACAATATATACAAACTCTATGTGTTTTATATATTCGAATCCAGCTTCCCATAGAGATTTCAAAAATACAATAATTTCTAGGGTATTTCTTCGAAAAAATTGTCGCGGCCATCGCAACTCAAACATGAATCACCCTGTATATTCAGTTTCCCCTCATGTATTTGAGTATGAAAATCGACATGTTTCAAGAGATTCATCATAAAGGAATAGTATGGCTATAAAGAAATGTATTGACTACTTCACGAGATCACTCAACTCAACAGACACACTGTATAGAAACCCTATGTTTGATATATTTTAGATTTCAAAGTTCCATAAATATTTCAAAAATTCAATAATACTTACATAGGGTGTGTATTTGAAATAATTCCTGCGGATATCTTTACTCAAACGTAAACCTCCCTGTATATCAGATTTTCACTTCAAATGTGGCAAATTAAAAAAACGACTTGTTTCATAAGATTTTTCAGAAAAAGATAGTCTGGCGAATAATAAATATTTTCAGCTTACATCTTGCCGACGCTCGCTACCCAATTTAGATACAAATACGAGTTGCTAACGATATTGTCATATATAGAGATTTATAGGTAGTAATTCTTGCGCTAGAATTGAACAGGGCTACCCGAAAGGACCATCGATCTAGCTATCACAATGTACAGTTACAAAATCAATTTCATCAAAGGCTTGAAGTGTATTATTACGTGCATAAAATACCGTGTAAATACTTCCGAATCTCTTTTATTTCTTCCCTTATATATCTCTTTGTGACGTCATTATGACTTATAAGTATAAGGTCTTATGACTGTGTCATTAGACGTCATTCAAGGGAATTTTAGACTTCACTTTCTGACGTCATTGTATGGTGAAAAAATGACGTCAATTAGTCTCACTGTGCTACCTGGGTGGTATAGTTTCCACATGTACATTTAGGAACTCTACTGGGTGGTACTTACTATAAAATGAAGAGAACTACCTTGGTGGAGAAAAACATACTTTACGCCTTGAAAATGAGTGAATAAGTAAGCTTTCATATCTAGTAGTGTAAAAATGCTTTTATTCACTCAGTGCATCGTGAGTAAGCGTTTCCTCCCTTATTTATGGAAACAAGCCTGTCAATTCACACCCACGGAAAGAAAAAATAGAAACTTCCGAGAGAGGTTAAATTAATTGGCATCAGCCTGCTTTCTTTGTAAGGATATACGTATATTCCAAACTAGCGACTCAATCGAAACTTCAGAATGCAATTGCACAATGATCAAATTCGAAATGACAGAACTGTCAAATTGATTCTCATTGAGATTCAAATACTGTCGATTTTCCATGGCATATTACACTTCTGTAACACATAGTTCTGGATCGAGACTCGAGAGATAGACCACTTTGAACACAATTTTGACAACTCAAAAAAATATATGCGTTCAAAAATTGAATAATATATAGGGTGTTCCATTTCGAATAATTGACACGAACATGATCATTCCACGGTGGATCCCCCTGTATATCCAATTTCCTTGTATAAATATGGCAAATTAGAATGAATACTAGAATCATCTCCAGAGATTCTCAAGAAATCAAGGGTTTGACTGAAAAATATGTATTTATTCAGTACTTTACGAAAGCATTGTATATGTCTGTCTGGCTGGAGGTTAGCACCGCCGGAACGGTCTGGCTACTGAGGCACAGTCAGAAGTTCCTCTGTAACATTACTGATGAGGAAACTGATGATAAAACGAAGACTGATGGTGAATCACACTAACTGTGTTTATATGACTATGGATGAGTCCAATTATCAGGAATAGGACTACAATAGGTTGAAGAACACATATTTTTGAGATGAAAAGATCATGTGAACATAATATATGCGTGAAAGCTTCGTTTTCGATATACAGAAAGTCAAAGTTTGAGATATTTTCAATGTGTCTCTAGTCTTCTCCTACAATATCGCAAATTATGAATTGAAATTCGGTATACCTATTACACTTGAACTGCATATTCAGGGCTAAATTAGCCGATTCCGATTGCCTACAGGGTGATACACTGTCGGAGCTGGTATACCCAATTTATCCTTCTCGAACTTTGCTGCGTTCTCCTTCTGTTTTCAACGCAGAATTGTTTTGGATTCTCTATTTCATTTGGATACTTTTTTGCTTCTTCATATGTTTTCCGAAAACTGTATGGATTTCTAGTCTAATGCCAAAAACAATTCCCATGTGATAAAATTTCATTTTTCGTACACACTCTATCCGAAATTTTTTGATAATTGACAGAAAGGCCTGGGATGATCGAAAACTTCCATGAGATGTGTTGATAGAACTCAGTGACAAAATTTTTAAAGCAGAAAAAAAATTAATATAGAAACTCTGATAATGGTAAATATTTTATCGTCAGAGATATTTGTTAATTTGCAGCAAATACTGAGAAATGTATTGCTATTATCAGAATAGTGCCTCACATAAATAACTATTAGTGTCCCACATGAAAAAAAGGCAGAGTTCAACTCACTGATAAATCCACAGTTACTCTTCCGCTGAACCAATCAGACCGGGCATGAATTCGATTCCATCAGAGCAGATACCAGTGTCTTTGGATATGGGTAACTGAATTCCGCCCTTTCATATGATTAGTTATTAATTTAGGACTCATTTTTGTTTATTGTTATTACCATATCAATCGTGTGAATAAAGGCATATTATTATTATTATTATTATTATTATCATTCAAATCACCACTGCGTATATGGTAGTGAGTACATTACTAGCCTACAAAACACAGCTGAAAAACTCTGAAAAGAGAGCTGATGGGCGGTGCCTGAAAAGGATGTTAGCCAGCTCTCTTGAGCGAACCACATCAGTCATTGAAAACACTTGGGGTTTGCAAAAAGGTCCCATTGGGGACTAGTTGCTGACGTGGAAGCGTCCTCCACCAGTACCAGTACCAGTACCATTCAAATCATTGAACAATTTCTATCAATTGTCTCACCTATAATTGAGAATAATATGCACCAACTGAAAGATCCTATCAGCACCAAGGATACTATTCTGCTAACTTGCCGATATGAAGGACAAAAGGGGTGTGGGCAGAAGTTCGGCCAGAACGAAGGTTGCCATGAATGTTGTGCTTCGTCCTCTGAATTACACTTGATACAAAGATCAAACCACCAAGACCTGAAAAAAAAAGGTTCCAAATCATATTGTGGGAACTTTATTCATCAACATCACGTAATATGGAAATCACTGACGTTCCTTTCAAAGCAACAAGGTGTATTCCGTCGGTAATATTGGGTAATTGGTAAGAGTCAAATGTCAAATATCAAAATACTGTACCATTATTTTACTGAAGAAGTGTACACGGTTGTTGCTAGGCGATGGAATGAATGGATTCAGCGAGTCTAAAGCGATTCATTCAAAGGAGCCCAAGGTGGCTGGATGATAATTAGTGGAGAGCAAAAATTCTGGAATCGTCTTCTCCCATCTGTCCAAATAAGTAATATGAGATTAAAAAATTGTGGAATCAATATAGCACAGTAGAGAATGTAAAGCGATGAAGATTTGAACACTTAGTAGACCAGATGAGCAGTAGTACTCAATCTGCGACTAAGTAAATCTAAGGAAATATATCTGAAACAATACGACTCTCTCATGGCATGCCGTGTAGGGAGACGGATTGAATGAGGGTGTCCACTTTTTCGACAGTTTGTTGTATGGGAATAATTGTATGTAATACATTCAAGGAGTGTTATTTCATCGTCGTCGCATGTTGAGACTTTCCACTCTTGAAAAAGGTACCACTTTACACACGACTTGTTGATAACTATCAATTTCAATATCTTGAAAACAAATTGAATAAGGACATCATATATTATCTTCTACAACACCCTGTATAGTGAAAGACGATAGGGATAAATTCAGAAGGAAGAAAATCCAGACAAAAATAGGAGTCCAACACACTGAGAGAAACTGGATATTAAAAATATCTACCAGCTCTGATTGTAATAACCACTATAAGGAAATCTCCTATTCCTGATCATTTTATTATTACAACAGTATTCTCTCCATTCTGTAATTATAAAAATCGATTTCTTAAATCATTTGTAATACCCTTGAATGGACATTTGCTACCATCATAACGCAGGTGTGTTATGACATTATGAGAATTTTATAAATTCCAGTCTATTTAGATTTTTTATTGACATAGCTCGTTTTGTGAATTATGCTCATTGGCGAATTCAGATAATGTTTTTCCCAATAATCATAGCTGTTTGAGTTTCTAGCATTGTACGTTGACGAATAACTCTAGCAATTCACATGTATGACGGTTATTAGGCAATCATTTGACAATCGTAATTCGGCTCATTTCGCTCTAGTGTTTCATTAGTATTGAGGCTGACAAAGATACAGATCGCGTTCATTTCTCTGCTGTTCTCGGTCATGGCACAGATTAAGGTTTGTTAGTCTGTGTGTTCAATTATTGTTCAATGGTTCCGATCGTCCGAATCGATAGAGCCGTGTCTTGTAGGTGAATGTCTGTGATGTAGCAAAGTTTTGTTTCAGTGCTGGCTGTGAACCGATCTGTGGAATACACCGTGCATTGCATTATTGCAATGAAAAAAGTATTCTCCATACCTACTTTTCAAGGGCTAAAATTGGTTTATTTCAAAAACAAAATGATCGATGAGATTCTGAATCAAAATATCTGGGTTCCTGTGAGGGAAGTTTTATTGACAATTCTCATCATAACTCCGAAGGAAGGGTAAATATAAGTATTCAACTTCTCATTTCTTAATAAATTCGTCAGTTATGAATATGGATGATATTTCTCCGAGGAAATCAATGAGTAATGTCAAAAAACTTCCACAGATACCCCAATATTTCAATTCAGAGACTAAACGTATTTTTTTGTTTTTTTGAAAACAATAAGTTTGGATCATGAAAAGTGATAGTGTGGATAGGATATTTATTTTCATTGCAGTAATTCAAAGCACGGTTTCATGATGCATACCATCGAATAATGTTGATTATATAACCTTATTACCACTGTTTGATGAATATACTAGAGTAGAAAAATATTGGGATAACTGTTGAAAATGAGCTACAATACAATAGCATGTCAAAATGTCAGGTTTCATGCAGATATCAGATAACTATAATAAAATGAGACAAATTACTGCGTTACCTCAAGATGGTTGTGCCAGTAATAAAAACATGCTGTTTTATGTCGATAGTCTAATAACCACTGTAGAGTGGAGAGTTACACTGAAAAAAAAAAGATGGTAGTCATTACCAAACGTTTAGTAAAATAGGCGCCAGTCACAACTTTCATGAAATAATACCACTACAGAGTTATACTATACTAAACTATGAGTATTATACAATTTTGTAGTGGTATTATATAATGTTGTAGTGGTATCATTTGATAAAAGTTGTGACTGGCGCCTATTTCACTAAACGTTTGGTAATAACTACCATCTTTTTTTTTTTTCAGTGTACTGCAACATTTTATGGGAATAATTCCTATTCGACATTCTGTGTTATCATAGAAACTAGAACAAGTAGTAGTTATTCAGCAGCGGTGTTTTTATACAAGTTTGCAAATTGAATAAGCTGCCATAACTACAAGTCACCTGAAAATTCACTTCATCTATGGTAGCACATGAACACATCTGTCCCCTATTTATTGCAGATATCGTAATAACGGTTATCAGATTTCCAATTATGATAACTCAAGTTTTCTCTCAGTGCAGATAACAATTGAAAGTAGTAACATGAAAATGGAATAGAACTCAAGGAAACTAATGAAAAAGAAATTACGACTCCTAAAAACTATCTGAAATATCAAAGGACAGAACACTGATGAAGACCCAAGCTGATGAATATTCGAAAACTAAGAATGGTAATCATAACTAGAATTAACAAAATGAACATGATATCCATATGAGATATAGAGACAGACACGATTGAAAAAATGAAAGGATCAAAGAGAGTAAAAAAATAAACAACGAGGATCAACAGAGAGGCCAAAAAGGAATATATGAATATGAGATCGGAAACATATAGAATATGCGAAGCATAATATGAAAAGAGTATAGGAGCAAATATGGATCATAAAATAAGGAGAATAAAGAATAGAGTTGGATAAATGAAGACAGAAGGTGAACGAGAAAATACATACTTATAAACTCGAGAAAACAGATGAAGAGAATGGGAACGATAGAAGCAGCTTTGAGAAAGAATAACGCGAGAGGTAGAAGAACTAGAACTAGAGTGATGTTTATACTGAAAGCTGCAAGAGGAAATATCTAAGTTCTAAAATTAACGAAAACATGAAGAGAACCATGAACAGAGCCGAATATTGAGCATAGAATCTGCAGGCACACAAAACAAGAAGAAGAAATTTTTACAGAAAAATTCGAATACGGAATTTGGAGAATGCAACGAATACTGAAGATGATAACAAAAAACGCAAAATAAAAGTGACTGTAATATGCAAATCCAGCTTATTATTTTGAATAATTAGGCGCAACGGTCGGATAGATAACCAAAATTTGATTGATTTGATGATTTAATGACAAAATTCAATGATTCTCACCATGATGTTCAACATATCTCTCAGCCAATTCTGCAACAGTGTTCGGATGTTGAAATCGACGATTCTATGATGATGGTTAATAATACACGAGCACGATGAAAGATACAACATGAGCAGAATGCGATCAAGAAATAATGAAGAAATCGAAACGAGAGTAAAAAATCTGATACACACATTATCCGAAAAATATTGAATGAGTTTGGTGATACCTGTATAATAATCATAGATTTCTCTTTCATTTCATTGGAACTGAATTTTCACAGAAATATTTTGATTCATCAAAAATTTATTGTGGTGTTCAAGATAATTCTTTACTTCTGAACATGTTTATTCGCGGTAGCCAAGTTCATCATCTGACGTTGCGAAAACATGGAAATTACGAACAAACATGTCTAACTCTCAATCTAAGCCAGGAGTTAGGAATGTTTCCCCGTAGTTTTCATGTCATCGCAACGTCAGATGATGACCTTGGCAGTGACCTAAAGGTACCTACTATTGTCGCGTTGCGATTGAATTCCAATTGAAATTAAATTGTCGATCGAGTATGTAGTTACAATGACTACTTGCGAATATCTCCTAGTAGAAACGTGATTCTACATTTACCTGAGCCGAACATTCGTTTCATGATGGAAAATATGTCCATCCATTAGCACAAATCTGTATCGAAATGGAAATCCGTATCGAAATGAACATCATCCATGAATTGATAGGTAGCAGATATTTAATCTTTGGAAGAAGTCTATAGTAACTCAAAGTGGAGTGGTATAGTTCATAGATGAAGAAACCCAAAGTCATCTCCACAACATTTATCTGACGATCAGAGATCGATCACATAGAAGTAGATGTTTCGGGCTTATATAAGATTTTAGTCATGGAAATGAAAAAGTTGGAAAATTTTATAATTTAGACAATAAAATGGGGCAAGACACACACGTATGCACCATTATCAGGTATAATGAAATTGGTGTTTTAATCTGAACATCGAAAAGTTTCATTTATTTCAAGAAATGGGTCAAGTTATTAATTTCATAGGGGCCCACGTGCCCTCAGATTGCCAAAGGTGACACACACATGTACATCTATGTGATAGATTTCTGATCGTCAAATAAATGTTATGGAGATGACTGTGAATTTCTTCATCTATAGCAGATATTTATTTCGCATATTATGGATGCGGGAGTAAACAATTGCAGAGTCAAGTGCCACACCTGCAGCCACTTCAAAGGAAATTTCAAACAGGCGGACTCCGCACAGTGCGGGATATTCTGCAATTTTTTTTTTTTGTAAGTACATAATTTTATATAACAGGATATTAATACATATCAAGTTACAATAGTGAACCAGGCTGAGCTGCCTAAGCAGAGCTTGTATTGCAGTCATCAACCTGGATTGAAAAGTATTATATTATATTCTAATAAATTACCGGCTGAATATACATATACATATATACAAATATTTTATATGATGTAAATAGAGTTATGAGAGGAGATAACATATAACACATTGCTTATATTTTGGAAATTGTCAATCGAATTCATATACAGTTTTGAGTATGTTATGGTTCTGATTTACATAATCT